ACATGAAACAACCGTTTGTTAGATTTTTGGCCATGTAAGGTGTATTAAATATTGCTGTTTAAAGAAAAAAAAAGTATCAATTCTGCATTGATTATCCTAAATTATGTTTATTTAGTTGGACATTGATTTTGCCATTTAAAGGACAAATTTAAGGTAAATAACAGTAAAAAAAAAAAGCTACTATCTTTCATATTATTTTCCTATAGGTGCCTATGTATTACTACGGCCAGTACCCTACCTCAGCTCAGCACCCATGCAGGACTGTCTCCCCTAGCCAGCACGTCCACAGCCAAGCAGTGCAACCAACAGGTACGTCTCACCTGTGTATGTGTGTGTTTGTTGTGCTGGGGGGCACAGACTGTGGCAGTAGAGGAGGGGGCCGTTACACTGTCAGAGATGTAGTCTGAGGGTCTCACAGTGAACCGGTCTCTTTTCCTGCTGCTTCTGTTCAACGCAAAAAAGACCGAGCAGACACATTTCATGTAGTGTATCTTAATGAGCAAATGCATCTGATACAGCCGCAGACAGTCAGTCAACACCTTCTAGGCATCAGTTCACAAAATAAACTATAAATAATGTATTTAATTATACAAGACTCAAAACGGCGACATCGGAACAGAAATACAAACGACTCCTGCATGAATGATGGAAAAATGAGAATGTATTTTGCGAGCAGTGTTTTTGTTGCTGTTATTATTATTAAATGTTGCCAATAAAGATTTAAGCACAAATACCGAATTGATAAATTAAAATGAATCACAAATCCACCATTTCTACTATATAAATTATATATGATTTTAAAGTCAGCCAGAAAATAGTGAATTAGTGTCAAATAGAGATTACAGCAATGACTGTAAATGTAAATCCATGTGACAATATAACATTTACTAAATTTAAGAACAAGCTACACAGTCAAGGCACAATAAATGTGTAAATATGTTGTTTTGGTGGACACCTTTTATTTATCAACAATAATAATAAAGAATTTGTGGAACATTTGCCCTCTTTTTTTCCAGAGTGGTTTGTTCATGCTGTACTTAAGCTTCACATTGTTCCCCTCCTTATTTGGAAAACTCTCCTGTGACTTATTTCCTCTTCTAACCTCCTACTAAACAAACTGCACTGATAAAATATACTGTTAATAATCTTGCATATACGTGTGTGTTTGCAGCAGGTTACGTCCCTGCTGTGGCCGTGCAGCAGCAGTCTTCACACACCCAGGCCCAGGCTGTGCTGGGAACCTACTCACCAATGGCCTCTCATCAGCGTAGCATGGTTCAGGTAAACACAGAGCACCCAAAGGTCTCTTTTTGCGTCAGCTTCCAACAGCTCAGCCCCCAAAAGAAGCGTTTAGCAGTTCAGAAAGTGCTTGTGGTGGCAAATTCTCTGCTCCAACTTTACTTTCTCTTTCTCTCTGCAGGGAGGTGTTTCAGTGTCCTATCCCCAAAGTAAAGTTGTGACCGCGGTAGGTGGGGAGGCAGGTTACTGCTGCGTGGTGCCCCCACCCTCCCACCACGGCAGCTGCCATCCTCCCAGCTGCACCAACCTCAGTGCCCCGGCCTGGAGCGCACAGTACTGATGATGCCTCGGCGGATGGAGTGATGATAACTTTAGTTCCTGCGTGAACTCACATGCATACACGCACATATTCAACACAAACACCTTTTTTCACACTCCTTCACCCTCCCCGCACCTACACCCACCTTCTTCCTGACGATGCCCACAGGGTATGTCGTTCACACTCATAACAAGCATGTGCACACACACAACATACACCCACTGACGTACATAAATGTACCACTGTACCAAAGCTTAATAGTATATATCAGAGCTGCTGTATTGAATGCATAATTTATATACACAAATGGAGTTTTATATTGATATTAAATTATATATTGTGTTTTAAGGAAATGCACTGTGTGAATAGAATAAAGTGCTGTGACTGGATTGATGATGTCACATTTCTATATCATCCTGGCTCTTTGTTTCCTCTAATGTTCATGACGATGCTAATCCAGGTGTGGCGAGATACATACACTGGGAAATAAAAAGTACATTAGGATAAACTTTCTGTTCACAACAGTACAGCAGTGGCGTTGTGGGAGAGCAGAGATGTGGGTTGTTAACCTACCACTGAGTTCATGAAAGGGAGATTAATATTATATTGTCCTAATATCTGAATAACTAGCAAGCAAGTGAAAGATTTTTCATCAATATGGTTGATCGTTAAGGTTATTTACTTTTAGGGGAATCTTGGTGTTATTACTGATGCTCACGCAGTTTTTTATACAGTCGTTTGACAAGAAGAGCAACACTGTTCAGATTCTCACTCTTATATAAACAAGTCAATGTGGCAAATTGTTGCAAATGATATAAATAGCAGAGACCATTATCAGTTACCATACTCTGTCTAACCACTGTAGGATTCTCACTTTAAGGCTTTAGTGCCCCCTCCTGCTCAAACACTCGCAGTGCAGGGTCCTCACATGGGAAGCAGCACCTCTTCTGCACGTGCTCATCAGTTTGTACAGCTGCAGCCTCCTTTCTGTTGACGGCTGCAGCTTACATTTCTTTTTAGTTAGTATTTTCACAACTCATTAATTATCTAGTCTATAAGATGTCCATCACAATTGCCCTGACAGCTATGTCCGAAAAACTGCCATTTTTTGCGTGAAAGATTGACTAAATGATTATTAATTTCACGTTGACTGACTACTAATCATTTCCAACTATATTTCTATCAATAGGGAAATAATGTACATTCAGTAAGCGTTTTACATTTAAACCTGTGGTAGCAGGAAGACTAACAGTGTTACTAATAACATTAACAATGTTCAAACGTCCCAACATGCACAACACCACGAACCCTAAACCTGCAGCTATCACTAATTGTTATTTACACCTGTGCTTTTCCTGCTGTGTCATGTCAGATGTCTGCTTAGATATAAAGCTCCATAAGCAACTAAATACGTCTCAAAACTATATTAGTCTTTACATACAGAACGATTACATGATGAGATGTTCTCCCTTCGGGCGGCCGACATTTTACACAACTGCAATATGTCTACTTTCCTGCAAAGCAATAACCGATAAGTCAATGTGTGTTATTGTTCAGAAGCCGGGTAATTCATTTTGTACTGAAAGTGATTCATATCCTCCGCATCAAATTCAATGAAACATATCCATCATCCGCACAAGGATTTAAAATTAAATTTAGATTTCATAACTGCGGTATTGAATGCAAAATGTATATAGATCAACGTTTATACTAAGCCAGTTCTTCCCTTAAACTTTCTTCACTCACATAGACACACACACGCACACGCGCACACACACACACGCACACACACGGGCAGCAGTGCAGGTTCCATGATCTTTAATAAAAGGCACATGTACAGCCATAGTGAGATGAGTGAGTCCACTGGCATAGAGACGAAGCATTAAAACACAGAAATACAGGAAGTAGAGGTCAGGAGGAGAGAGATCTATCTGCTTTACAGTAGGATCTACTTAAGTAACATCTTCTCGTTCAAGTAAGTCTAACACTAATATGTCACCGTGGTAAGGTAAAACCCCCCCCCCGTCCCCGCCCCTGCCACACACAAACACACACACACGCTCCATCAGTCACCAACCCAAAGTCTGATCTTCCAGAAATGTCTTCTCCAGAGGGCCGTAGAAGAAGTCCACATCCCTCAGACTCTGCGTCCCCCTCGTTGCCAACTCGTCCTTGTCAGCCGTTGGGCCCCCCGCTGACCCTCACACAGTCCACCCAGTACTCTCATACTGGAACACTGTCTGGTCCAGATTTTCTGTATGTCAGGTAGTTTGTGCTAATTTGATGAAAGAAATCTACCAAAGGACCTCATTTATAACACTGGGTCAGAGCTGTAACTGATATTACTTTGATTTGATCAAATGCATGTCAAAAAAGTCTTCAGTCTTTCTCTCATGAAACAGGAAATTACATATCCAGTGAATGAGGAAAATGTTTGAGATATCACTACTGCAGTCCGACCTTGATACGGATAACTGTGACCAAGACACACGTTGAGTGGGACATTAAACACGTGAATATTCAACTCATCAGTGCTCTCTGGTGCACAAACTCAATGATCTCACACTCAGTTCTGTTGTTACTTATTGGACCGACACATACATGGGTACAACTGCAATAGGTGTAACATTGGCCTGCCTGTAATTAATAAATGTCTTTGAACAAAACAAACCGTTAAATAGGCAAAACTTAAAATAAAAAAGAATAAAAAAAGGAAAAAACACCCCCTATGGGCATGATATAAACTCAAATAATTAAGATAATTTAGTAATGCAGGCCTCAGTTGTTATTGTTCTTAATGGGTGCAAATAATCAAATTAGCAACAAGCAACGGACACACAGTGAACCCGAGGGCTTTTGGGGCCCCTGAAGGTTTGTGGGTAATCCAGCCTCGCTTGTCATGTCCTCGAGGATTGTACTGTTCTTCACACAGGGACACGTTCACAAGAATCTCACAGTTATGATCTGTTTACACACACACACACACACACACACACACACACACACACACACACACACACACACACACACACACATACACACACACATACACAGGCAGCCAGTCACACGCTTAAAAACCCAACTAAAAAGAAAAAAAAGTCCACAGGTACTTAAATATTCAGGGTTAAGAGAAATAAAAATGGTATTAGTGTTGAAGGTTAAATATAACCACAGCTGGAGGAATAAGTTGAAGAACTAAAATATGCATGCAGCCAGGCCATCTCTCCTCTTGGTGAAAGGGTGGTGGTGGTGGGGGGGGGCGGCGCCTTTCGTCTGTTCTGGCAAAGTCTGAGACGCAAAATGGACACTTTTGCCAAAGCAGAAAGAAAATCGTTGACTACACTCAGGCATAAAGTGTGTAGGAGGGAGGGAAAAGACAAACGCTCTCTCTCTCTCTCCACACACACACACACACACACACACACACACACACACACACACACACACACACACACACACACACACACACACACACACACACACACACACACACACACACACACACGACCATTCACATGTCCAAAGAACAGCTCAGTAGAGACAGTCACTCTATTTTCACATTATCATGTCTTTGGGACATTTCAACATAAAAGCAGAGTTTGGGCCACACTCCAGGGTCCGTCACTTAACTCCTCTTTCTCGCCCAGTTATTCTCACACACACACACACACACACACACACACACACACACACACACACACACACACACACACACACACACACACACACACAACAAATGCACCCAGCAAATCCTGCTTTGGTCGGTTTGCGTGCTACCTTTGGCTGTGGGTGCCAGGGGTGAAACGCCAGACACAACCTGACCTCAGAGAGCCTCCACAGGTACACACCAACCAATCCCAGAACTCCCTTCCTCACCCCTTTACCCCCCGACATCCCCACCTGTACCGTTGCAGGTTTCACCCCACCCTTCCATCCCATAACAATGCCCACCCATCTCCATAGCAACTCACAGCTCCCCGAGCAACGGGTCTAACTATCTTGTAAAAGGAGGTAAGTGTAATTAGTGGTGTGTGTGTGTGTGTGTGTGTGTGTGTGTGTGTGTGTGTGTGTGTGTGTGTGGAGGCGTGTATACCCTGCGTGAATGTGTGTATCTGTGTGAGTGTGTATATGTGTGTGTGTGTGTGTGTATGTGTTAAGAGGTATCAGTGGTTCAGTGGTGTCTCTCTTTAATCTTCATCCTCTCTCTCTCTCTCTCTCTCTCTCTCCGTCTCTGCCCCTCACCCTCCATCACCCCTCTTCTCCTTCCCTCTCGTCCTTTCCATCTTCATCTTCCTCCTCCTTCCTCCTCCTCTTCTTCTTCCCTCACTCTTTATTTTTGGACTTGGAAGATGAACAGGCGCAGGTTGATGTTTTTGGCGGCCAGCAGTTTGTTGCACTCCACTGAATCGGAGATGGGCAGAGGGACGTAGTCGGTCTCGTTGGTGTCATTGCTAAAGGAGTGGTGGTGGATGACTGGCTTGATCCGCACGTCGTCGTACGGCCCCTTCAGCAGCAGGAAGGAGCACTCCAGGGCAGAGTTCACCTGCGCACAAACACACCCATGTGTCTCTGTATTAGTCACAACATGTCCGACTTTTTCCCTGCCTGTACCAACTCTGATACCTAGTACAAAGTATCTGCTGATACCGATCTGATACGCAGCATTTAGTGATAAATAATGCAATACTGCGCAGCAGGGATTAGTCTCACTATACACTGACTGCAATTAAGGTGACATTGATGAAGAAACTGTGTTTAATGTTGATGGGTCATGTCTTTTCAATTTCTTATTAAGGTCAGTATCGGCGCTGATACAGATTCAGTGGATTGGATCACGACATTTCTGCTGCTGACAAGAGCACTACGGATACTGAATCTTTGAGGCTGATGCAAATCAATGTTTGACAGTTTAAAAACATGATAACGATCAATTTATAGAAACTTTTTTGATACGAATCCTAGAAATGGGCGAGCCCCATGTACCAAGGCTGAGTCCTTGCTGCAGCGGCCATGAGTCCGACCTGTGGCCCTTTGCTGCGTGTCATCCTCCCTCTCTCTCTCTCCCTTTCCTGTCTATCATGAGCTGTCCTATCTAATGAAGCCAAAAAGCCCCAGAATATATATAAAGTTCCTGGCAATTTAGTTATTGTAACCAAGATATATATTTTACTAGTGGACAAATTGTAATATCGACTCTGTTCCTGAATGCCCTCAAACATACAGTATCTTTTAGTATTTTTGTACTGACATTTCTTATTGGCCGATGCTGCATACATTGACATTGATACATCTGTGATAAGCTAAATATGGCCTATAATATCGCCCATGCTCCACAACTTAATAACTGATGGTGATTTCAGAAGATATGTTATTTGTTGGTTTATAATTATTGTTAAGACAAATTACCATTTAAATTTAGTACTGGTGTTTCTGTTTTCTGCTCTACAACATCTACAATCAGCGTCTGTCCCTCCTCTGCTTCCCTCTGAGGTTTCTCTGTCAGCTGAGCAGTAATGATCACTTTACTGTAATGTATCGGGTTCTTGTTCCTTCAGATCTGCTGGAGAGTGACGCATCATCGGTCCTCTACACAAGCACACACTGAACAACTTTAAAAATAAACACGAACACACGGAGCAGTGTGTGTACCTTGCTTTTGAGGATGAGCTGGAAAGAGAGGGTGCGCTTGCAGGACAGGTTGGGGTTACGCTCAGAGTCGTTCACGCGGGCCTTCAGCACCCACGTCTGGTTGAGAACAGTGAAGCGCGGTGTTTCATAGTACAGACGAGTGATGAAGTCATCCGTGCGGTACGGCCTGAACTGAACCTCTGGATGGACACATAAGTGGAAGACAAGATTTGGAACAGGGAGAAAGGCCGTTAGTGGGAGGGGAAAAGTGGTTACAGACAAAGAGGCAAAAGGATTATAACATCTGAAGTTAAAGTAACCAGCTTTGTACTATAAAAAGGGGATACACTACATTCAGATCATTTCTCCTCCTTTTTTGTGTGCACCTGTAAAGCCGATCTTTTCGTAGCAGAGCAGGCTAAAGATGCTGTTATAGAGCTGCATGTCTCTGCGGTGGTTCTGGTCCATCTCTCCCAGTATTCCCATCAGCTCTGTACCAGTCTTGGTGGGATGGGAGCACTCGCTCTCGTGTGCTGGCAGCTCGTGGAACGGACCTTGCCAAGGGCAGCCAATCCTCTTGTACTTACACTGTGTCACCCTGGCGACATAATGGCAAGAGTGAGTTAAAAGACAAACTTAAGGAAAGAAAGACATGACTTTATATACATTAAATCCTTTAGAGAGGTGCTTTGTGATGAATGTGTTACTTTCTTGCAGCAAGTGGAAGGTACTAATAATATCAAAGGTACTAATTAACTGAGGGTCGTGAGCGGAGGCTAATTAATACAGCACTAATGATACGTGCTGAGAGGCAACCTCAAAGAAAGAAGGACTTGGATTTGTATCAATTACATCCTGGATTGAGGTTCTTTTCATTGAATACCTGTTACTTTCTTGCAGTACAAGTGAGGGATTAATAATGCGAAAGGTGCTAGTTAGCGTCTTTAGTGAGTCACGGATAATTAAAACCACACTGACGTAATTCGCCTTCTATTAAGTGCAAAGTTTTGTCTTACACACGTATTACAGAGTAACTGGTGGGGATTCAGCATTAAACAGGATTCACTGCTTTAACAGAGTGCCGTCAGATAGCTGTAATCCGTGGTTGTTATTACTGCACATTAAATACTGAGTAACAATACAAACAGCCTTTAACATCCTAACACCAACAATGGAGGTATTCCTGAAAATAACAACATCGTCTTTATGTAAGAGACAGTCAGATCCTCACAGGAGACCGGCACATTTTTCTGTCTGACCTGACCAAACACACCTGGTGACTGCCATGGCTGTTGTCATGGTAACACTAGCACGGGCATCTCTGTCCTAAGCAGGGTCACCTGTTGCTATAGCAACAACCCCACAGGATTTCATGCATGCAAATTCAATCGGCCCGAGCATCACACGCACACACACACACACACACACACACACACACACACACACACACACACACACACACACACACACACACACAGTCTGTAATCACATCAGCTGGTTCTCTGCTCAGCAGCAGCAGGTCACATGCTCCTCCATCTTCCCCAAATTAACCCTGTGTGATGCTGTGACCAGTTACACACACACACACACACACACACACACACACAGGTATATAATCATATTGTGTTATATAAGTGCACTGCTTCCATGTTCATGTTTCACTTCACAATCTGAAAGAGTCTGAATTTGATTTAAGTGTTTCTAGCTGCTCAATGTGAAAGTTTTAGAACATTTGTGGGGAAACTGATTGGAACTAATTTTAAGATGCTTTTCACACTTTCAGTTAAGTGTTAATTACAAGTATGAAAGATTTCTTAGCTCAAGAAAAAAAAGTGTGTTGTGTATGTGTGTGTGTGAGTGTGTGAGTGTGTGGTGTATACCTGTCTTGGCACTCCTCTTTCTGGTGTCTCTCTAAGCTGGAGCGGGGGAACTGTTTTAGGCAGAAGGTACATTCTGTCGGCAGCTCACTGACAGCCTTCTCCACGGCAAGGTTCCTGCAGCACAGGTTCTTGCTGATCTCACACCTACACAAATACAAGTCATACCTCAGTGGAGTGCCATATATAACTTTTGTGGTATGCACAGAGTGTTTGTGAACAACACACAACCATCGGTAGCTGTCTGGGTATTAGAAAAGTTACATTGTGCTTTTGACAATTGTTGGTGGTAATTTTTACACACACTGTAGGACAAGACATGCAAAAACAAATCAATCAAGTTATTTTTCCCTGTGTCTGTAAATCCATGATAAAAAAGTAATTTTGGAAATGTGTGTTGTAGAGTGATACGGCACGTCGCGCATTTCTATTGCATGACATTCATAACGACATGCAAAAGTGTAAATGACAATGACTTTATTAACTTAAAGGGCCAAGGTGGTTTAACAGCCATCAGTGTTTTAATGTTTTTCCTGCTGTTTTAAATCATTCTCATCTTCGGTCAGTGGTACTTTTTTGATGTTCTAACTGCTATTAGTTATTAGGGTTGGGTCGATTGGACGGATATAGCAGCTATCTGTGATTGGCTGAGTGGATTGCAGATTGTTTTTTGGGGCTTTTTTGGGGCAATTTTTGTCATTTTAATTAGCTAATTTAATTGTCTGCTTCTAAAGGACAAGAGCCGCTGCTCAGCGACAGATGTTCAGCGGCACAGTACACACACTAAGCCAAAGAACGAGTGAGAGGAACAGCTGTCGAGGCAGAATATTTTCACAACTACCTCTGTGAATTAGGGGTTTATTTCAACCAATGTGATGACAGGGAACACAGTACGAATGTGATTTACAGCGACAAGACGAAGACGCGGTGGGCTCGGGCCGGGACAGGGGAGGGGTCAAGCGAAGAGGAGCGAGAGGGAGGTCAGTTAGCCACCAGAGTTGGTGATCGCTGGAACAGTGGAAAGACTAACCAAGATGGTTTTGATGAGTTTTATTTTGTTTCTGTCGAGTTTGAATGAAGTGTGTTTTACGATGACTGAAGGCCATTATATTAGTATCATTTCAGAGAAAGAGAGAAATTCAGGAGGTTTACAGTTGCATTTTTCTGTTTAATACAGAAAGTAGGTGTTAGAATATTTCCTTTGACTTTTATGAGTTTATATTGTTTATTATAAGATAAGTGAGCTTGTAGCGAAGCTGAAACCCTCACAGCTGAAGGTAACCCTATTAGCTAGCATCACATACTTCCTAACTCAGAACTTGCAGAAAAAAGTAAGCATTTGGAGGGGAACATATTTTGGATTAGTAATTTGATTTGATAAAAATATACACCATCCAAATTATTTGGCTGCAAGAGTAATTATTTGTAGATAATTGTCTGTGGACAGTTTGGACACACCAGTCTGGAAACACTCAAAAATGCCTATAAAACCAAAATATCACATTTAAATGTATCAATATCCATACACGACTATGTTCAGATCCACTTCACGACTACAATCACCAACTTTAGTATCTGGCTAACTATTTCTACGTGCAATATGCTCATGTCTGCAGGGAGCTTGGTGTACCTGCAGTTGGGACACGTGGCCTGTTCCTCCTTGAGACGAGAATCAGCCAGGAGGTGGATAAAACAGCCTGCACACATCAGGTGTCCATTGGTACACTGTGGTGGGAAAAGAAAGTTGAGGCAGCAGTCAGACAAAGTGTGTATGGAAAAGTGGAAAAAACAATTAGAATGAATGCTGAGTGGGATGCGGCACAGGGAAAAGTATTAGTGCAAGGTGGAAAATGACTAAGTTCAACTTTCTCTGGAATCTTATGATAAATGTGTAAGCAATTTGTTACAGGGGTTGTGGTTTACTTTGAGGCTATTCATTGGGACTGCTTTAAAGGAAATATTTTGGGGAAACGTTGAGGAAAAAAAGGGGACTATAATCACATCAAAACACATAATTTTGAGGAATTCGACATGTTTGGCTAGGCATATTTTCTAGGGGTCTATTTCAATTCCAGTTAAGTTTTAACAATGGATTGGCTAAAGCAACCCAACAACAACAAAGTAGTGTCAAAAAAGACTGTTTGCACTATTGGAAATATTACAGTAAGATTACAACTTAAGGGGTGATCTTATAGAGGAGAAACATCTGGAGTTGTGTACTTTTCAGTGTGAATAATGTGAATAAAGGTTCTGTGGGACGTTTGGATTAACAGGTCAAATGTTATTCACTGGTTGTGCTTCTCTTGTTTTTATATATATATATATGTGTGTATTTTAAGGGGAAGCGTATTGTGTATGGAAAGACTTGTGTTTACACAGTATTGTTAAAAACTGTTTTTAAAACGTGTGCTTGCATGTTGCAGAAGGGCGTGTAAATGTTTAAGACTAACTGAACAATGATTAATTACAAATGTGTTCACTTGACGTTGAAGAGCAGTTTGAGGTTATTAAGGAGACTGTTGTGGGGTGGGTTGAAGGGACGTGGAAAAGATGATTAAAATTTAAGGTTTTTTGGTTGAGTTCTGGATGTTTGAGTTGTTGTGTGGGGGTTTTGGGGTTGTGGCTTTTTTCTTTCTTTCTTTCTTTCTTTCTTTCTGAGGGCTATTTGAGGATAATTCACAGTATAAACTTGAGCAGGTACAACTGACCACTCGGCCCGGGTGTGTCTGGTCTCTCAGCCTCATGGCTCAGCTCGCAGCATATAGAGACTCAGGGGGGCCTGTGTTGGATCTAGTATCACTAATAATAAATGGAGATGGTCAACATGTCCAACAGGTTGACTGTGGGGGTTACTGCGGTTGGGACACATGGGGCAGTTTCTAGTATGAGGGTCCAGCTGATTTGCTGTTGTTTGACGATAGGTTAAGCATTATGAGGGGAAGGTTTGTGATTGACACCATGTTTACCTGATATACAGACGCCTTGGGCAAGTCTAGGCACACGGTGCAGCACAGCACTGAGTACAGTCTCTCCTCCAGCTTTCCTGACTCTCCCTCGGGAATTTTCACCCTCTTCTTGGGTGGCTCGTCTGGGTCAGGCTCGGGCCCTTCTCGCCGTATCCCGACCTCCTCCTGCATGGCTGCGACCCCGGCGACAGCCTCCGCCGCTGCCCCCACGGCTCCGACCCCCAGGCCGGCCGAGGAGGAGCCAGGGGCGGCCGCAACGCCCACGTCTCTCTCTTCCATTGAAGACATGGCGATGACTTTTCTCTATAAATCTCTGTTGATGTACCTGCCGCAACCAGGCTGAGGCTGAAATATTAGCAGGTTAGCTCACAGCTAGCTTACAACCTGTCAGGCTAACGGTCAGCTGACAGCTAGCTAACGTTAGCTAGGCTAACGCGACGGCAGCAGGCTGTCAGAAAGGATTGAAGGCTAACTTATTATTATCACCACTGCTACACCTCCACCTACGAACTCGGAATTTAACACGCCAATTATTGTGTAATAACGAGATCATGTGAAAAAACAATGTAACTATGACTTCATCAAACGTTGACTCTTTTTTTGTTGACTTACAGTGAGGCTAGCAGACTATGCGGCTAGCTACGTTGACACAAACACAGCAGTCCTCTCGCTTTGCCCAGGCAGAACAAAAACAACTCGTCTCTCTCTCAGCTGTTGTTGTACTCTCGACGCCGTTATTCGCAATGACAGCAGATTACAACGATGTGCACCGGCGGCCCAGCTCGGCTGCTCGTCTAACGTCCCTGCTCCGGTACCGACTGACCGTCCACGGGACCCACGGGACCTGTCGGTGGTTAAAGCCGCGGCTAGAGACAGTTTTGCTGGGACTCGTCTCTCTGGCTACACAGCCATCTTTGTTTTTTTCCTGTCCGTCTCCCCCGACTTCACCCTGCACAGCCTTTACGACTCCGGGTCAGATGCGTTATTGCTCGGGCAGGTTCTCGATGGTGGCTAATAATAATAGAAGTTCCGTATTTAAAAGTAAATATTTTGCGTGTATCTGTAACGGCCTCTGTGTGCCACTAAGTACTTCAGTACAGCCGTGAATTGGCTGACAGCGGAATGTTTTATTGTGGCAGATGACTTGGGGTATTTAAAGAGTTTTTAAAGGCGCATGCGTAGTGAGCACCTGCGGGTCAGTGTATGGCAGGACTTGAAAGGTGACCAAAACATGATATGCGACAAATTTAGGCCACTCCAACAGAGGACGCATCCTTTATACGTCTGCAATGTTTATGAACCACACCCACATTTTTATAACATCTTAATAACGCCGCCATCGATTTGTGACATCGAAAACTTTCAACACAACTTTATGACAAGAACACCCTGTTTCCTGCTGCTGTGGCAGTGGAGTGGTTCAACTGGTTGAAAGTGTTTGTGTGTGTTAAGGATGCATAAATAATTGAGCTAGAAAAACAGGGTGATCAAAGAGAGCCTTAACTGCCCTTGGCCACTGATACTAGGTCAGAAGCATTTATAAGCTTATTCATCCCTTCAGTGCCCCAGATATGTGGCTTAGCACCCTCAAGGGCCGGGAGGGGTGCGTGTATATACAGGGTGGTGGTGGTGGGGGTATGTGTGTGCATACTTTAGGGTAGGTGGGGCAGGATGTCACAGTGTCAGCTGTCTGCAATCGGGGGGACAGGACTTACCACTCCCACCGAACAGACAGATATGCCTTATTTGGTCTGTGTGGAATGGCAAGGGAGCCATACCACCCTCGGCTGTATACACACAGTTTACCCTCTGGCAGTATGTGACCACACAGTGCTCTGAATGATGGGCAATTCCCATTATAAGTCCCTGGATACATTAATTGGTCAAAATATTCCCACAGATTGCTTATTCACTGGTTGATTCACTAACCCAGTGCAATGTACATACAATAAACACAGTAAAGATGGCAATTTAGGAGTTTAGTAAATATGGCAAACTTTTACTAGGACTAAAATGAGAAGTTGTTGCTACAGATGTTTATAGTTTATGAACGTGTAGTAAACAAATAAAAGGTTTGCTAGATAAATGATCCTAGCACAGACTTCTAGGAAGGGACTTCAAAACAAGATGAGTCAGTGTCGTCATACAAGTAATCAAGAATAGCTGCCAGAACGAGAGATGCGATAACACATCGTATCCTCAAAGCTAAACATGGTTTGTAGAAAAAAATAAAACCAAAACAAGTACACTTCAGAAATGTCCTAAAAAGTACTTTCACAAATACACCACAACATTAGAAACAATGATAAACTCTAAATAGTTTTAAATCCAAACTGAGTCCTACTTGATCAACTCTATTTGATTAATTATGTCAACATAGCGTTCACAGTGCTTCACTACTTCCTCCTCTTGTAATCCTAGATGGACACATACCTTGGCCATTACACAACATCTCATGATGCGTTTATAATTGCAGGACACATTGATTACACACATTTATGGGATTTATCAGGCGTCATCAATTAGACCCTATTCAGCCCCAAGAGAGTAAATCACATCATCTGCAGGTCATTCAAGGTTTTCAGCTGCTGAGAAATCAGTGGTATTGTCCGGAACCATGAAAGCGATGAGCCTGATCTAATCACGCAGTTAAACAGGGGGATTGACAGTGAGGTCAAGATTGTGTGGGTGGGTGCGTGAGGGTGGTGGAGTGCGGCTCGTCGTAGTTCTTAGATGGGTGGATTTCGGCGGTGGCTGTGGCGGGGTTGTACAGGGGAGAGGTGAAGTTCTGCTGGTGGGGAGAGTGGACTGCAGAGGCTGCTGCTGGGTTGGAGGATGGCTGGTGTTGTGTTAAGTGACCCAGATTGGTTGAAGGTGGTGGATATGGAGGTGACTGCTGTTGGCTGTTTGGTTTTGAGTGTGTCTTAATCTGGGATGAAGGCTCAGTTTGGGCACCGAGCTGATTGAGTTCAACACTCGGGCTGTTTGGGCTGCCAGGATCGCAGTCTGTGTTTGAAAGCTTGGGATCTAGATCCTGTATTTCTTGCCTGCTGGGTGAGCCAGAGTCTGTAGAAGAGCATTCTGGTCTCTGTTGACCAGGCGTGGCCTCTGAAGGTGTGTGGACTTTGAACTGTGGAGATATGGTGTGAACTGTCTCTTTTGCTTGTTGCTGTGGTGGTTTGTCATCATCTTGTCTTCTTTCTGTGTTTATCTCAGTTTGTCTCTCATCATGTCTGCTCTGCTCTTTATGTGTGATTTCTCCCTCACTGCTGGTGTGTCCTGGTGTTTTGTCTGTACATGTTTCTGCTGCATTGGTCTCAACTAGTCTCTGGACTCTGTCTGGTTCTGCTCCAGTGTCTGCTGTGCTCTTCTGAGCTTTGTCTGTGAGCGCCCTCTGCCTGCAAATTGAAGCCATAGCCTTCACCCAGGGATGCAGCAAGGTCTGCTCTGCTGTCAGTCTCACTGTTGGATCAGGCTGTAGCAGAGCTCGGACAAGGCCTCTGGCTTCTGCAAACACACAACACAATAAGAAACAGATTTGTGTTTGTATGTACTGGGATTTGTGGCAGAAGCCTTACTGTACTTTCTGTACCGCTCACCTTCTGAGATGGGGTCCCAGTAGGGGGACAGGAAGTGGATTTGTCCCTGTTTTATTAGCTGGAACAGCTCTTCCTGGTCCCGATCCCGACTTCGAAATGGAGGGAATCCACACAGCAGGATGTAGAGAATAACACCCAGAGCCCATACATCCACAGCGACACCATAACCTGTTGGGTAAAACCACAGTTAGTTTTTAAACAAAAGTTCAAGAAGAGTTTAAGGAAAGTTTAAAATATGAAAGATCCATATTTAGGCATGTAAATGCGTTTTTTTTTTTTAAGTAAAAAGGATTGTAAAGCTGTGATTTATACTGCAGCAAATAATACTAACCTGTCTCACAGAGAATCTCTGGGGCTACATACGTGGGTGTGCCACATATGGTGAAGACTGGTTCAGTCACAACCATGGCAAGACCAAAGTCTCCCAGCTTCAGCCTACAGATGCCAGCAGCTACACGCTCTATCTGAGAGAGAACAAGAAACTCATCATACAGTCAGAAACAGAGTCATGCACAGAGGCAGCATTGTTATATATATATATATATATATATATATATATATAGATTTTTTTTTTCAAATTCAGTTCATTCAATTCAAATACCTCCAAGGCACCCACATAGAAACTTGTGTTACTGACCCTGCATTTATACTGATATTGATAGTTTATATAAATATATGGAAGGGCAGACAAAGTATTAAAATGGGTTAATACAGAAGATGAATAAAAGTAGCCTGACTGTGATTAGTCATTCTTTAAAACCCATTTTATGTGTAGGATATGATTAGGCAAAGAAAAACATTTGTAATGAATTAGTTTGCTTTAATTGCTCAATATTAAAGTAACAATCTTGAAGATCTCTGTTTCCTTCTCTTTGGCGCCACCTATGGTGATAAGTGGTAATTGCAGGTGTGTTCTAGCCCAAAAAAGATTGTCTAAACTTTTTACAAACAAAAAATACAGCATCAGAATAATAATTAAAGATAATCACACGTAGTTCTCAGAATCACACACAACACTGACCAGTAGGTTTTCTGGTTTGAGGTCTCGATGGACGATACTTTTGCAGTGGATGTAATTCAGTGCTTCAGTCACATCCGACACCATCAGTCCCGCCTCTGCCTCTGAAAACGTCCCCCTCTCACTGATGGCCTCAAACAGATCCCCCCCGCTCACCAGCTCCATCACCAGGTAGGAGTGAGTGTGTGTGTGGTGGTGTGCAACCAGCCGCACTATGCGAGGGTGACTGAGGCTACCCAGAAGGCTCAGCTCGTTCTGCATCATGTGCTCTCGACCAATCAGCTTGGAGCGCTCGACGATCTTCACAGCGAGGGTTTGTCCGTTGTCACGACGGTGGCACTCTCGCACTACCGCGAAGTTGCCGTCTCCAACCAAACGTCCAATTTCATAGCAGCGCTCAATATCTGCCAGGGTGACATCACTGCCCTCTGAGGGAAGGTCAAAGGTCGTCCTCTGTTCTACTTCCTTGTGTACTTGACCCACATCTGGAAGTGGATTTGAAAGTTGTAACTGGGCAACGCTCTTCTCCTCCTCTCTGCTGACCGGACGAGGAGGTGGAGGGCTGATATGAACGTACAATTTTCTCACTTCCTGTTCCGTATAAGAACTTCCTTTTGGCTTCCTAGACACAGGAGGAAGTGGGACCTTCCCTGACAGCGGATTGAGCCGCTCGGGACCCTTATGTTTGACCCTCTTTGCTAAGCAGTTTTCACACAGTGTTGGAGAGGGAACATCTGTTTCTCTAAGACCTTCCTCATGTTTAAATGGACCAATGACAGAAGGCTGTTGCTCCCTGACCCCGCCCCTCACGTGCAGTCTCTGCAGGTGGTTGGGCAGGTGAGCAGGTTTTCGGCATGAATTCTTTTTATGACACTTCTGAACATCTGCTTTATAATGTTCTGTGTCTATGTGCTGAGGCGGTTGTGTAACTGTGTGCGTCTTGGTATGATTTTTTACATGTGTGTTTGCGTCCTGGCGTGTCTCCTGGTTAGTGTGTGTCTCACTGCTGTCTGTCCCCTCACTGTATCCACTGTCGGCCTTAGCTGCTTTATCTGGCGCTGGACGGAGTCTTTTCTCCCAGGCCCGCAGTGCTTCTGCTCGGTAATGGGAATGTTCTGGAAACAGCTCCTCCAGAGCCTCCTGCACACTGCTCAGCTCTGGACGAGACTTCCCCAGCGCCAGGAAGGCAACCTCACCTCGGAAGAAATCACATACACCTTTCACCTATGAACAAAAGGAAATGAGAATTTAAGACTAGATCTGGTCCACACGACAATTTCAATAAAGCTTCTGACATGTTTAAAATTGATATATTCAGCACAACATTCAACACACATTTTACATTAATCTCTTATTACTTAATGTTCAAGCAATGCAGCAGCCTTGAAGTGTAGAGACTGCAAAATGAAATGTCTCTTTCTATGTATTCTAAAAGAAAAGTTTCCCTGGAGCACACAGACTTTCAACAATTTATTATTTTTTTATTACAGTTTTAATGTAACAGAGAGGTGGAGAAAGCTATTGTTCTCCAGGAATACAATACATTAGTCTTCTAAACATGCAACAACCTGGCCAGTGGACCTCATTTGTTTTTGAGAACTGTTATTCAAGAGCTTAGCTGCATCGTTGCATGCAAGTTGGGAAATTTTAATTTCTAAATCACTGCGACAGTTTCCACATTCCACCCTTTATTTCAGCTTCCTGTGCTGTCCTTTTAATTTATTTGCCCCACTCAATAGATAGGCGTCGACTGTAGATCAGTCAATTAGGTGTGTTAGGCCCAAAACTGGATTAGCAAAGTTGGGCCCAAAAATTAGAGGATCAGGACATGAAAAGGGCTTTAAGGTGTGTCCTGTATTATTACCTAATAATGGCCCTGTCATGAAAAGTGTCACTATGTCAAATATGTCAAGACCTTCATTAATTTGGTCTTGTGCTTACATGTTTCAGATTCTTTGATCCTCACAGCAAACCTTGGGCTTGGGTCGTAATTCAGCCTCTGCACGTTGCAGAGAATGTGTGTTGAACGTGGGAGAAATAAATAAAGGTCCCATCTGGGCATTTTTGCCTCAGGTCTCCCTAGCAGGTTAACGCGGTTGAGCCTCACCTCTCGTGCGTGGGTCGTGTACAGGCGTGTGACTCTGGCTCTGTGCCAGCGAGGAAACCCCAACGCCTCTGAGATATCCAATAGCAGTTGTTCGAAGGACACCACACCCCTACGGTTCAACAGGACTGTTACCTTGAAATCAGAGAGACAGCAGTGGCGGTTAAGTTATGTAACTCTTTCCCATGTAAAATACTCTCACAGCTACTGATAATTGGGAAGAACTCCTCATAAAAGTTACATCTGTTAGAAGCTTTTAATGACATCTGGGTCGCCAGGTTGTAAAAAGTCCTTTTGTTGGGTTTTGGTCTTTTGTCTTTTTAGCGCCTTAGTTCATCAGGAAAACCGGACCACCAAACTGCAAAACACCTCCACTGAAATCCTTTTATTAACAGCTTATTAACATTAATAACTTACAGACCTGATGGTTTATTAGAAGGTGAAAACCCCCATGTGGACTTATAAAGGTGTAACAAACATTTATAACTGCATTATCTACCAAATAGAAAGGATACACACCATGAAAGGGGATTTTTTAACAACCTTTTAACCCAAACGTTGTTCTTTAGTAACTTACATTAACATTGTGTAAAGATTTATTAACCATTGATAAAGTCATTAGTTACAGCCTATAAAACCTTCATAAATGGCGCCTTATTTTAGAGTTCACCTTGCGTAGTGTGCTTTGACCACAGGGACGGACGATGGTGACCAGACGGGGCCTCTCTGCGCTCTCCTCTGCATGGCGGGTGTGGAAGAGAGGGAGGTGAGGAGGGGGAGGAGGAGGAGGAGGAGGAGGAGGGAAGTGGGACCTGTGAAGCTGCCCTTGAGGGTGGGAGTGAATGGGCCATGGCTGAGGTGCCCCACCAGCACGCTTCAACAAGGGGGCTGGAGGAGCTGAGGCAGGGAGAGAGGAGAACGAGGGCGGAAGAACAAAGACAGAAAGTAAAAGTTAGATTATTGGAAGTGTCACTGACGTCATCACCCCATTATTTTCTTCTAGACTTGTATTCAAAGAAGAACTCATAAGTAACACAACACTATAGTTCCTCGTCCTGTGTGTGCACACGCACTTGTGTGTGAAAACAAATCCGGCTGATCAGATTTGAGTGTTTTCCATCACATGGAGTGCAAGGGCCATTTGAGATTGTTCAAGCACCTTGCCCCACCGGCTGAATTATTTAGGCTTCCTTAAGTCATGCAAACCCACACACAACTTAACAAAAGCTTGCTTGACCTGATTAGGGCTCAACTGAATCTGCATGATTGATGAAGCATTAGAGACACACACTGCATCTTTGACGTTTCACTTTCTGGCACTGAGGGAGACACAGAGATGCTATCTGTCTGGTCAGCAGGGGGTTGGGGTTTTTTGTTTTGGTTCCAGATGCAGAACAACAGACAGAAACACAAGACCCTAAACATCTAACATGACCACGGCCCGGGCCTGTTTTAACAAGACACCATTGGCTGGGCCCCCTGAGAGTGACCAACAGTACAAATAGTCTCACACACACACACACACACACACGCACACTCTCAACAATAAAAGCTTTTCACAGCGAACACAGAAAAATTCTATGTCCTTAAGCTTGAATATCTCATAAAGAGCCAGCTGTAGTCGGTCAAGAAAGACTGTATCAGCCTTTTCTTGTGGGTCCTGAGACCTTTGCGGGTCTTTGTGTGTGTGTGTGTGTGTGTGTGTGTGTGTGTGGTGGGATAGGCTATAGATACTTATGTCTGGGCCCTTCTTATAGTAATAATGCATCACGTAAATCAATAAAAATGTTCACAGATGGAGTCCCAGTCTTTAAAATCTTTAAAAACTTAGTATATCTACTGGGTGTAGTTATTATTGATAGGCCCATATAGGTACAGACAATTCAGCCATTCTAGTTTAAAGACAGAATAAAATATGTAGGCTAATAGAGTTCAATATAATATTTTCTTTTTGTTTATTTTAACTGTAAATTAAATCAATTCAGGTCGACCATCGACTCACCTGCAATCCTCCATTTAGCGTTTCGCGCCGCCTCACATCCGTACCTGGCTCTCTGCGAGGGCGTCATGACTCTCCAAAAACAACACGTGAACTAAAACTACTCACTTGACATTTAATTTTCTTTTAACTTTTTATTTTCTCCATGAGTCGCTGCGGTCTTACCCTCGGCTGTTAGCCTCCAGAGAAAAGGTAACGGGATGCGCCGAGAGACGACCGGACCTGGTGTAGCTACAGTGGTTGCCATGGATACACGGCAAGTTGGACGGCGATAGGAAGAGAAGTGTCGGAAGCTGAGCGATTTTCCCACCAAAATAAAATATGATTATTTTTATTCTGTAGGTACCCTAATCGCAGAGCAGCATGCTTTTTGAATACACACGCGCTTTTTATGTGCTTTAGAATCTCGTTAAAGCGGCTGTTTCTTTTTTTAGAGTACTTTAGGATGGTAACGTTAGGTCGCAAGAGAAGTTCGTCAAAGAGGTTTTATTTTGAATGTTCTGACCGGAAGTGTTCTGTTTTAGTTTGTTAAAACTTGTAAATGGTGAAGAGACGAGTTCAGGTGAGTGAGTGGAAGTTGCTGGTGATACCTGGTTTTATTTGATGAGTTAAGTTGGCATGACTTGCACGTCTGGCACTGCATCTGCATCCTCTCGGAGAAGACGAGGAATGAAACTGAATTAACCCATTTCTCTCGCTTTCTAAATGATGTTCGGCTATAAAGGCTGTTTCAAAGCCAGCAACACATTATCACATATACGTAGGCTAAATGGTAAATCAAATTACATTACATTTAAGGCCCAGAAGTTTTTTGTTTAACCTAAAAACAGTCAAATTTAGAAAGTCTAAAAAAATATGATAATAACAAGCCTGAAGGAGCGCCCCGCTGGTCTGCCCCTCAAGAGGCAGTAAGATATATTTGAGGTCCCTTGAGATGAACACTATACAAGAATAAACATATTTCTGCTATATAGACTTTTCTATTATCTTTGCTCTATTCTTGAAAGTAACTGTATAAATTAAGACTTACCTTATTCTAATAGAACAAAACAGTCTTTCATTATCACTGATGAAGTACATTGCTTAATTTTAAAGGGTCACAAGCCAAACAGCTTTGTAACCACTGGCTTAGGTAATGTAATGTAACCACTTGCTTGTAATGTCATCACCCATCTCTCTGTCCCTTCATTTACTGTCGCTATCTAATGAAAACAAAACCTCTTAAATTATTTTATAAAATAATAAGACACCTTACAAACCCACAATTTAGCCTATTATTTGTAGAACGTAAACTCATATTGTTAAATCCTCCAAATTTACAGACACAATAAAGACATTACTTCACTTCTGTGTCAACTGGAGAGTAAATTAAGGATTTTAAAAAATGTATAAATTCTCACACAAAACCTTTTGTGTCACAATGACTGGAGGAAACTTATGGTGTAAAATCACTCTGACAGAGGGGGGAAGGGATTGCCAGTCTCAGGGGCAGTTACCATAGTTTTAGTGATGGAATCCAATACTCTGCCTCTCTCTCTCTCTCTCTCTCTCTCTCTCTCTCTCACACACACACACACACACACAGTGTCTGTTTGATCTTTTAATACACTGCCCCCCATGGCTCGGTCTCCAAGGATACTGTTAATATTGGATCAGGAACAACAACAACTCTTATTCCGGCTTCTTATCCTGGACTCGGCACTGAGGCCCAACAGTGTGTGTGTGTGTGTGTGTGTGTGTGTGTGTGTGTGTGTGTGTGTGTGTGTGCATGCTGTCTCAAAGTGCTGAATAGTGTTAATCCATAATTATTTATTTCCTTATAGTCTAAGGAGTGTTTTCCACACCTTTATTACAGAGCTCAGAGGAAGCAAGATGAGAGAGATGGGTGATGAATGCATCAAAGGGCTGAACTACAAATGACATTGAGATCGTAGTCAGGATCTTTAACCCTTATATAGAACATCAGGGCACCCATTTTTTCATCTATTTAAGATTTAAGTTGGACCCCTGGTGGATTCATGATGATTATGTGGTGTTGGGGTCATTTTGTAACTGTATAATGTTTCACACTATGTGGTCACTGATTCTGTTTTGGGGCTGAAAACTTGACTATAGTAATATTTTAGTTCAAACTTATTAGTGGTGGTACTTTTAATCTTGCTCTATCTTGCCCATGAGTGGGAAATCAATAAGGGGGTCCTCTTACTGTTAAGAAGAAAATATGTGAGTGGTGCACTACCAGTGTCTGACCAGCAGGGGAGGCAAGCGTACATCCCAGCAGAGAGAGAGAGGAGCGGCACCTAAAGTGGTTCCCTGGAAGAACTAATCAACTGGATGAACGAGTCATCTTGTAAACATCATATATTTTGAGATTAAGATGTTAAATCCCTCAGTGATATGTAGTGTTAAGATACAGGTTTGATTTCTGAGCAACTGACTGTAAACCATAGAAATTCCTCAGAAGGAGGTCGATAATCTAATCTTTTTTCAACTTGGTGCTGGCCCACCAGAGGATTTATGGAACAATGGATGCAATCTCACAGGTAACACACACATAAACATAAACACTACTCTGCAGTTGTTCTGAGTGTGCTAACAGCTGCTACCACAATGATTCAAAGATGAATATGTTGATAAATTATTTCAAAATTGTAATATTAGTCATGCAAGGTTTTATGTGATTCCTATACATCCAACTACTACTACTTAGTGGATCAAAGTCAAATCTTAACCCTTTTAACAAGTGAGAAGCCCCTCTGCAATGAACTGTTTGACCACATAACATGTGGAAAACATCTGCAGAACATTTGGACCACTTAACATTAATGGAAATACCTTTATTAAGAACTTGTTAACATTTAAAACTGCAGTTTAAATGGGTTATTAGCAGTTACAAATGAATAAAGTGATTAGTTACAGTGTATATGCTGTTTTTAAAATGCACCTTATTTAAAAGTGGTACCAAATGAGTAAATGCATGTCTAAAAGTCTACCATTCGTTCTGTAATCAGAGTCGTGCAGAGTTATGATGCCGTTTAAGCTTTCGCCCCTCCATTCATGTGATTAACTTTATATCTTGTTACTTGAGCTCCATTTGGACAAGGGGGTTGAGAAAGAGTGCAGCCAAGGAGAGGCCGAGAGAGCCTGCAGACTGAAGGACTAAACCAATGAGTATGTGTCAGAGAAGGGAGTGGCAATGTCCAGATGTTTATATTGTTGTATTATCCTCGCATTCGCACACAGATGCACAGGAAAGGCTTCAGAAAGCTGGAAGAAATATCAACATTCCTCGGTTTACGGCCTTCACGCTCTTCCTTTAGCTGTTCTGAGATTGAACCCTGTTTACCACCCCAGGCCTACCAGCTTTCTGCCTGTGTCAGCTCAATGTATTTACACACACACACACACACACACACACACACACACACACACTTGGATACACACACTTAAACGCACAGAGACTTACAGATGCCTTCCTGGATAAAGTCATGTGGCAATGAAAAACAGAGTCATCAACCTCTACAGCAGTCTAGAAAAATTGATTTTGTTATGTACACAAAGATTTGACATGTTCAACAGGACAAACAAAACGGATAAAGATGTTGCTCGTGTAAGTCATCGATGTTCATGTGTCATGTGATGGATAGTTCTTATTTACCACTATAATGCATTGTTTTATCCTGCCTACCTAAAGCTTTTCACCATGTCTGCATTACAAGCCATTATGAGGAGGGTGTGTGCCTCGGAATTTCTTGCCTGAAACTGCAAATCCAAATTTATGTGAGATTTGACCTTGGTGGACCTCTATCATAGGATTGCATAAGATCAAACATTCATGTTGAAACTCACTTGCCACAGACAGCCAGTAAACATATTCTAGGCTGGAGCTCGATGATTTCGACCTTTCACCTCCTCTCTCGCTCTCCCTCCTTCTCTACTTTTCCATGTGTCTCTCTCTCACACCTGTTTATGTCAAATGTCAGACTCATGCATGCCACAGATTTGTTCCGTCACACACACAGATGTGCCAGTTTAGACACGCTAACAGACAAGAAAGAAGGGGGGACACTGGAGGACAAGGGCAGCGGGATAGGGTGTGTAACATGGTGTGATGTGATGTAACAGCATTCACTATTGAATTTTTTTACCCCAATCCCTGCTTTTCTAGAGCAAAAGTGTGTGTGTGTGTGGTGTGTGTGTGTGTGTGTGTGTGTGTGGGGGGGGGTTGTTTTAATGTGTTTATTATTGCACAACTTCCAGGGATCATCAGACCATCTGCAGATGGGGACATTTCATCAAGCAGAGAGACAGAACAGTGATAAGTGGACATTTGTGCTTTTGAATGAATGCAGCTGTGTGTGTAGTACTTCTACTGTATGAAGACTTGGGAGAATTTATGGCAAGCACATGTTAGCATGTCCCTAACATCAGCTCTTCAAAGGACCCTTTGAGGGGGACTTAGTGGGGTTAAGTTTAGAATCAGTTTAAAGCAATAGTTTCACTTATTCGGAAATAAATTATTTGATTTCTTGCCGAGAGTTAGATGAGACAATAGATACCGGCCTCATGTCTTTACGCTGAATATTAATTAATGTTCGCTTAGCTCATAAACTCATAAAACCACAACTTGCAATTTTTAAACTTAATTTTTTTTAAATTAAACAGATGAGTTATACATTATTATATGTTAATTAGTGAGCTTTAGAGGTGCTGGTAGGCAGATTTTGTTGCTGTCTCCACCGACTCCAGTCTTCAGCTGCTGGCTGTTGCTTCATTATTACTGTCCAACATGAGAGTGGTATCTATTCTCATCTATAGGGAATGCACTATCCCAATGAGGGTCGTATAGAGCGCAAATGCGTGTGAGTGTAGTTGTAGGGTATCTTGTTGTGGGGTCATAAATCTTTTCACAGTCACCTCCCAAATGGGCACAAATGCTTCTTCAGCTATTAGAAGAAAAGAAAAGGATTGAAGCCCTGAAAAACCTGGTTTAAATCTTTGTTTTCTTAATAAAATTAAATACGCAGGATTATATTAGAAACAATCAAAGTTGATACTGCACGAAACATCTTAAATTGTTATTTATTAAGAGATTAACAGTCAAAATCTCAAGCAACTCTGCTTCAGTGTGGGTGTGGTTGAATAGATAAGATTTAAAGTGATCAGAATAAAAGCAAATGACCCCACCTGGTATGGGACAACACCCCATTTTGATTCAAATGTTGCCATAAAATCTGAATACTAAATAGGTTTTAAGGGCATTTAATGGATACGGTTTCTATTTCAACAATTCCCACAAGAACACCAAAAGCAACATTACTTTAGTCTGTCTCGCAATACCTTTCGACTTCTGTACCCAGTTGGATGTTCAGTGGTTAGCCCATTGGTTCCTGTAATCTTTAAAAACAGGTCACAAATATAGGCTTTTATTTTCAAGTAGTTTAAATAAATTTTATCTAGAGGTGGGCATTGAAGGTTTTAGCTAATATTACTCAAACAGGAGCACATTTGTTGGGGACTATTTTCAGCTGTGGATTAATACAGATTTGGTGCTTGAGTAAATATTTACACCTGGACGGGGTTTGACTCTCAGTGGAACAGTGTGGCTCATTTTTTAACCAAGGTGAGGTCTATGGCACTGACAATACTTGTTAGAAATCTCAGTTTGGTGGTGGTTTTGATCTTTTTGTGGGATTTGTTGACAACAAGTAAAATATCGAATACCACCACATTTATCCAATGCAATGTCCTCCTACCTACACAACAAAAACACGTTTTTTTCTGTGTGTGTGCAAAACAAGCACCGTTGTAATAAACCAACCTTCCAACACCCTTATCTTGACACTCATGTCCACAGCTGACAATGCCACTGGTGCATGTGTGTTTACAAGTGTGCACACAACACACACACAAACACGGTGCTTGTGTCACCGTCTGTGCTCTGGCAGGCCAGACTGAGGTCGGTAAAAGTCAAATAAGCACAAAAGCAGGTGGAAAACCCAGGAAGAGGGAGACGTAGTGAGGCAAGGAGAGAGGCAGAGAGGGCTATCATTGCATTCTTTTCAACCTTCAACCCCCCACACCCCCGATGCAATCAATCACACCCCTACCCCCACCCTTCCCCCAGACTCCGTCTGCTTTTCTTCTTGTTCTCTTTCTCTGAAAGGAGGGCTTGCTCATCAACCCCTCCTCTTCGTCACCCTCCCCCCTCTCTTTTCTTTGCTCTGCCTTTTATTCTGCCAAGCTTGGGCTTCACAGTGGCCCTGTTGCTCTCTCTGATCCTTCCCTTCTTTCTCTGTCTCAAATGTTCATATCATCTTTGCTGGCATGGCTTTAATAAGCACATTATTGCAGGAATCATTCAGAATGTAAGAAAATACAACATGTACCTGTACTATAATATGTCGAACAACTACATTACTGTGCTACGTAGAGGCAAAACTAATGGATGCAAACAAATCAATCCAAAAAATATTCACATACAAATTTACTTTATTTGCATGATAGCCACTTTTGTAATTTTATCACACACGCTCACTCTGCCCCTCTCCACCCCTCACGTCACTCCTCCCCCCTCCCCTCCTCTCTGCACACCCTGATGACATCATGAACAGCCGGTATAAATCCAGCCAGTAGGGTTGCAGCACGGTCTGTGGTGCTGAGTCTCCCCTTCTCTCTCTCTCTCTCTTCTTTCACTCTGTCGCTCTCTCGCTTTGCTGTCTTACACACACACTCTCTCTCTCTCGAACACACCCTTACACAGCCCTCATTCCTTCACACTACTGCAGACATGGTCGAGGCTTTTGTGGGCACATGGAACATGAAGGAGAGCGAGAAATTTGATGAATACATGAAAGAGCTGGGTAAGTGTGTGTTTCAGTGTGTTTGGTATATGCATGTGAGTGTGCGCATGCGTGTGTAACAGGAGAGGATGCTGCCAGTGCTGCATGTGAGCACATGTGAAAATTGGGCTGAGCAAAGATAAACGTTTTAAGGTGTGTTTAAACTGTTGAAGCAGCTGCTGATGCAGTGTGAAAGGGGAGACAATGATGGGGTAAATAAGGGAGGAACCAAGATGGAGAATGGTGGAAAAAAAGGAGGTAAAAGAGGAATATGGGTAGAAAGAGAAAGAAAGAAAGAATGAAAGAAAGAAAGAAAGAAAACAGGAGAAGATGGGAACCATAGAGGGAGGAGAAAGAGGAACAGTGGTTGACCACATGGCCTGTGCTGGATATGAAGGAGGGGTTCTCTTTTAGTGTAGAAAAAAATCCACCCCACTGTGAGAAACTCTGAATGGCAAGCAACTGGCATTGACACACACACACACACACACACACACACACACACACACATACACACTTGAGTGTAATGTGGGTGACCTTCGCTGAAAGCTGCTCATTGTTCGAGGCCATGGGAGGAGTTGAATATTAAGATGGTCCCAATGCCGAGGGACTAATGGGACGAGAATGTGCAGAAAAAGTGGGAAAATATCTCACACACACACACTTGCACATAGTTTGGTGTGTGTGTGTGATGTGGGCAGGTGCTCTGACTTTTACAACCGTGGAGAAGGACACTAAACTATTCCACTTTGTGAGGTTGTGTGTGTTTGTGTGTGTGTGTGTGTGTGTGTGTGTGTGTGTGTGTGTGTGCGCGTGTGTGTGTGTGTATGTGAGACCCAGTGACCTCAGAGCCGTTTTAACATCGACCTGCCTGCTTGTCACCATAGAAACCATAGAAACCTCTCAACCTCTAACCTCAATCTTCTTGATCAATGAGGCGTCTGCACACATGCACACACACACACACGCGCCACACACACACACACACACACACACACACACACACACACACACACAAAGTGACTTTTGGTTGTTTTGATTGTGGGTAACTCTGTTGAGGCTCTTGGAGATTAACCGGATTGTCAGCCTGAAAAAGAAAATATTTTTTGCTGTGGTAGTAAAGAGTGTGAGTCACTGTTAACTAATGAACTCTCTTGATCCCTTCACACACACACACACACACACACACACACACACACACACACACACACACACATACACACACACACACCCTAAAAGGAAAACGAGTAATCTTTGCACACTTACGTGCTCAGAGAGGCAGTCAGGTCGATGGGACCCTGCAGCGTTTAAAGAACACGCTGCAGGTTTGGACAACAGACAAACAGAGATTAGAGTGTCAGCTGAAGGAGACACAAAGGGCAAATGAATGGCTACTGCTGGAAACCTTTATCAAAATGTGTCACTTATGTTGGTAATATTACTCACAGACATATTTACTTTATAAACAAATCAAAATAAAACATACAAGTTAAGGACTATCCCGTTCCCATTAACGCCAGCGATCCCCTCCCATTTTTCGGCTTTTAGTGGAAACTATTGGCCTGATTCCATGAAGTTTGGCACATACAATTTTATTTCCAACAGAAACAACATTTCGTCTAGCAGGTCAAAGTTTCATCCTGTGAAATATATCAACATCTCCAAGGTGGATTGGCATAAAATTTGACTTTTCCTCTAGCGCCACCATGAGGTTGAGTCCACCACTTTGATAAAGAGTGAAATATCTTGACAACTACTGAACAGATTGACATGAACTCTGATACAGACATTCATGTGTCTTTGGTTTATTACAAAATAACTGCAGGACTAAAGGCATTCCCATCAGCCTCAGTTGTACTTTGTACTTCGGTAATTTGCATGTAGCTCTCTAACATTTTCATGCTTGCTCAGCATTGCTTAACCCATGTGTCTTTGATTTTTTTACAGGTGTGGGCTATGCTACACGTAAAATAGGCAACATGACCAAGCCCACCACCATCATCTCAGTGGAGGGCGACAAGGTGACAGTGAAGACCCAGAGCACCATTAAGAACACAGAGCTCTCCTTCAAGCTTGGAGAGGAGTTTGACGAGACCACCGCCGATGACAGGAAGGTTAAGGTGAGGGGAACCCCAACACCTGAGGGCAAAACCTCAGTTTATACTTTAGCAATCTTTAATCTTTGTTAAAGAGGGTTTTACGTGACCCTTTAGGCTATAGGCTTAAAAAAGGCTGAAGTACCCATAGTGACAGTGATAGTTACAGTCATGAAGAGGATCGGGGGTTGTCATTCTTGTTTGGAATGTGAACAGGAGGCACTGGGTCAGAGAGGTCAGGGGTGAGAGAGGGTGAGGGTCAGAGAAGATGTATTGGTCATAAAATGAGACCTAAGAAACAACAATCATACCATATTCTGATTAGCAGGGCAGAGGGGTATGAACTCTGGTTTTGGTGTACAGAGAAGTCAAGAGATTTCAAAGGCCAAGTATCAGAGGAATGGAAAGTCTGCAGCAGCAACAGACCAAGACATCCTTGTTTCAGCTTAAATCAAATAATTTCTCAGTTCCATTTTAAACTCACCAGGGACACAAAATGCATGCACAGATGCAAAATAAGTTTAAGAAGACATTTTTGTTAGAATTAAAGAATCAAATGCCAATGTTGATCATTATTATTGATGGTTTAAAGTGCCACTTTGTATGTTTTCCACAAAAACACACCCTTAATCATTTTAATATATTCAGGGAGTTTGCTGCTGCAGGCTGACTTGGTATGGTGTGACTGGGAGCTTATGATGGCTGATGTTCACTAACATTAGCAAACATATTGCTGTGTGCTATTAACTGACATTAATGGGTCAGTTATTGACTTTGACTTCTTCTCCACTTGTGTCACATGCTGCCCAGCTGCATAGGTTAGCTTAATAAGTAGCATTTATCTGTTGCAGCTGGTTGAGGCAAACATTTTAACTACTTTATATAATGTGTGGCAGTTTATCTGTAGGAATGCATCATACTTTATCTGTTTTTGCATGCAAACCCAGGCTGTACCCAAATAAATGTATTCAATACCAATTAATGGATAAAAAACTTCTTTTATGAGGTGTTTATACGATCTTGTATGTACACTTGGGTGTAACAAGCTCCCTTTGTTTTTCTCTCTGCAGTCCATTGTAACAGTAGAGGATGGGAAGTTGGTGCACATACAGAGATGGGACGGCAAAGAGACCAGCCTGGTCAGGGAAGTCAACGACAACGCCCTCACACTGGTCAGTGGTCACACTAAACGCATATATATTTAATGTCTGTATGTGTGCATGTTGGTTGTGTTTTAACCGTCTTTCTCTCTCCATCACAGACTCTCACAATTGGGGAGGTCGTTTGCACACGTCGCTACGAGAAGGCACAGTAAAACGTAACACTGAAACCTCCCTCCAGCATCTACTTGCATCAACTAAAGCCCTGCACCCCACCTCATCCCAGGCCAAGCAAACCACTCATATGGCTGCTGCCACTTCCCTTCAGTGTCCCTCATACTGTACACTCAGTATTAACATTACTGATGAATGTGACCTCTTTTTTCTCCCTCTCCCTCTCTTTATACTGTTGTTCCTTTTACTGTAAAAAAAAACAAAACACTGAATAAATTCCAATGATTTGTTGTTGTTTTCTTTCTCTAAAATTGCAGGTCTGTATTTTTTTTTTTTTTTTTTTTTAGAAAATGTGTTATGCATGGTGCCTGTTAAACCTGGAAAAGTGTTTGAATTAAAAACAAATTGCCTCTTGAGGCCTGGAAATAAAAGTGTCTACACTGTTGGACAAACATGTAAAACAACAATTGCTGCAGGATGTGTTTTTTTCTTGAGATGTGTAGTGTTCATAAATGTCAGTTGAAAAGGTCAAGGTAAGAAAAAACTACAGAGTTTACTCACAAACTCATTCTACAAACAGTCTACTAACAGTCTACAAACACTGAAATGGGCAAATAATCCTCCACAACAGAAATAAAGTGTTGTGTCAATTAATTTCTTGGCAGCTTCAGCTCAACAATGACGTAAAAATTAGAGTTGCTTTGTATGTAGTTGGCCTGAAAATATTGCAGTCCATTAGTTGTGACTCAAAGTAAACAGCAGATCCAAAGAGTGTGACCACAGTTTCCATCACAACTGGTTTTGCAGGGACTCACAGGAAGGTTAATTATAGCCCCTGCTCCTGTGTGTGTGTGTGTGTGTGTGTGTGTGTGTGTGTGTGTGTGTGTGTGTGTGTGTGTGTGTGTGTGTGTGTGTGTGTCTATACATACAGTACATGTGATACACACTTGCCTTTGCCCTGGCTAAGTGAAGGGAAAGTTTTGTCAAAGCTTGTACTAGTTGAGTGAGTACTTTTAAGTCCTGTTCTTGTACAGTAGGTGTGTGCGTGTGTGCTTTCTATATTCGGATCATTCCCTCCCATAGAAGATTGATGTCATGTGTTAACAGTAGACTGCCAACTAGAGGCAGGGTGAAGGGGTGAAAGGGCGCAGGACGATCTAGGCCACCTTCTGTCACCACCACCTCAAGTTACTCTGAACTGAAATGGTCACAAGAAAGTATAAAACATGCACTGTGCAAAAATAGAGATTTGCCTTCTTGTGTCATACATACTGTTAACTGTAGCGACATATTTGTATTTAGGAGAAAAGCAATTGAGCAGAAAAGTTGAACTACATATAAATAGCTAAACGTAATGGATAAATGGTAAAAACAGTTGCATGAAAAACAAAAACCAAATGAAAAGAAAGAGACCACGCATGAACATTTTTATTTCCAGTATTACTGTTATGTATGGATTCACATGTGGAGCGACAGACCCAACACAGCTGGCCTTTTCTCAGCAGTGAAACACTATGGAGCGTTTCCATAAAGGTCATCTCATCTATAGAAGGAGCATCATGAAAGGGTAAATGAGCCTATCTGAAGGTAATTAAGTAATTAATAACTGTAATTATTAGTTTACGGATGTACTAAAATTATATGTACAAACATATATATGTATATGTGGAGTGTAAGATGACTGCAAGAATTACAGTATAAAGATCAAACATGTGCAACAAGCAAACTTCATTCAAGCAGTAACTTTAACTTTTTTTTTGTTTTTAATTTTATACAGTTTAACTATATAGAAATAATCAATCTTTGTTCTTCGTTTATGTAGGTCATATAAAGGGAGCAGTTTTAAATTGAGACCATTTCATAACCAGCTAGAAACTGCTCGTAGTAGGTTTAAATAATTAAGTTTCATTCATGACCTTGGCAAGTAATTTGATAAAAAACAAACAAATAAAAAATCTTGACTCAAATTTCTTTTTCCAGAGCCTTCACACGCTTCACACCACCTTGTGGATGATGTTTGTCTGTCGGTCCACCACTTTGATCCAAACTGAAATATTTACTCAACTGTATGAACTGTATGGATTGCCTTTCATACATACCTTCATATCCCCCCACAGGATTAATTGTAATAACCTTGGTGATCCCTTGACATCCAATCTAGTGCCATAATCAGGTTGAAGGAACACTTTGGATCATGACTAAATATTTCTATTTTTTTGCCAAGTCATTCCAATACAATGTACTAAATTTACAAGATAAATTGGTTATTCCCTTTTGGAAGTAGAAATGTTTCAAGGATATCGTGAAAGAAAAACAAAAAACCCAGTTCCAAATCAAACATTGTAATACAAGTTAAAGATACGTGCAGATTCCACTTGAACTTTCTGTTCACTGACTGTTGTCATTGTCAAATTATTTGCAATAATGCAACACACACTCACCATTGTGGTTGTGAAAGCTCAGGATGATACTAAATGTTTAACTGACCATATTAAATTCAGCTTGTACATCTGTCTGGCACAAACAAGAGGACAGGACAGGAGAATGTAAAAAAAAAATGCAGAGGAGTCATGAGACTGGCCAGTGAACTGGAATTGTATCAAACTACAGCAACTGGAAACAATTTATTCCTCCACAATCCTGCAAGTATGAGCTCAGACTATATAGGTCCAAACAACACAGAAGAAACCAGGTTGATTTCCTAACGTTGCCCTTTCTTGTCTTACAAAAGGACGTGACCCAACGTAAAGTTCGTGTTGTGTAGATCCCTCAGTCCAGGCCTGAGACGCCTTCCCTTACTGGAAAACATTAACTTCATGTGACCCCAGGATGGACCAGACCCACCCTGAGAATTTCTGGTGTGTGTTTTGGTCTCCTGGGATCTTACTCTAAAACAGCAACATTATGAGTTCAAGGTCCAAGAACAAAGACATCAAGAGGCACATTACAAATAAAAACACCTTTAATGGAGCTAACAGTTGACATGCAGGATGAGGGTTGTGTGTACTGTTAGCAGTCCCCTGGAGGCAAAATACACGAATACACACATGTATGTACATACAAATGCACAATAAGCGGCGAACAACCACAGGATATCACCATAGCTTGCGGTTCCTGTCACGCTCACTTGTGCTGCATTACACGTCCTGTTTGTGTTTTACTACTTCCTACATAGTGTGTGTGTGTGTGTGTGCGTGCGTGTGTGTGTGTGTCTGTCTGTCTTCCTCTTTGTGGATTATCTGAAGGATTTTTCATGTCAAACCCTCCCAAGAGTGAGCTTTACTGTCTCCACATCTGCTTAATGGATTTCCCAGAGCATAAGAAACAGGATAGCTGTAAACAATATCTGGATTTGAAGAGGGATAGCAACTTGCTGCCATATTGCTTACACCTATCTGGTTACTTATGATGTGTAAACGTCTCCCTCTGAGGGGGAGCTAGAGGTTACTTCGGGACAAGTGTGGCTTTATCGTCTGATATTTGTTTGAAGCACTTTCATGTTGACCAATTTTGATTTTTAAAACTTGATAGGAGGTGTTAATGTGCCTCCAATGACATGGTGAGACAGTAGGAAGAACATTCCTGAACTTAAATGAATGAAGGTTTCTATAATAAGTGTTTGTTATTAAAAGATACACAGCTAGAAGTCTGTCACTCCATCTGTTGCTACCCACTTCCCCTTTTTGCGTCAGTCTGATAGCTGCAGTGTGTGCGACTGTAGATGTGCGTCTGAGCCGTGTAGTCGTCTCAGCTGTGTTTATGTGATTTATGTTTCTTGTGTTTTTTCTTCTTTTTGTCCTCTCTATCAGGAGAGTGGTCGCGGCGCCTGCTCTTGGATTTGCATTCGCTACTGCTGCTGCTGTCACTCTCCGACTCCTTCCTCTCCCTCTTCCTCTTCTTCTTCATTTTCTTCTCCTGAAGGATAAACATAACAAGAGGAGAACTTGTTTTGTGTGGCAATAAAAAGGAACTTGAACAATGAGAACGCAGAAATACGTGAATAAGCAGACCACAGTTTCAGTACCTTCAAAAAAACTATCACTAAACAAATATTTCTCATTATATCAGCACAAAACTATATTGTACTCTTTCAAAACAACCCTTTTGATGGTTCCCATGAAGCAGTGTTAGCAAACACAGACATCCATGGTCAGATGAGTGGGTTGTTGCATCAGATGACGCACAGCAGAGAGAAACAAAAAGAAAGATGGACCTGGAAGAAAAAAAAGGAAGTGAAAGACACAGGAAATTAGCTGCCACACACTGACCTTCTTTTTCTTTTTCTTTTTCTCTGAGTCTTGCTGGGGTGCAACTGTGGCGCTCTGCTGCTGTTGCTGCTGCTGCTGCTGCTGTGGCTCTTCATCGCCCTCTTCAGGCAAAAGAGCATACTGCAAGCCCGGAGCAGAGAAACAGTCCTTTGTGAAGTGACCTGAAAAGAGTAATGATTTAGTAAAACTGATGCACAGATTTATAGTGATTTCAAGCAAATGTCCCAGTAGAAAGTTGTGGGAACCAAATGCAGTCCGTGTATTATGTAACTGTTGTTTCATTTTGTTGTTGTACCCTTGCAGCCACACTTTGAGCATGTTGTGTTGAGCACAGCCTCCAGTGTGATCCTGTTGCCTGTGTGATCTCTAAACTGCTTACGTCTCCTGGAGTCCTGCCTATAATCACAGAGAGACCATGATGACACACACCTGTCTTCCATATAGGACATATGACAAAATAAAACTGTAAGCACTTACTCTGCCATAACATTGTTTGGGTCCAGGTCCCGTCCTGTTCCCTGATTGACAGCTTTCATTGAGAAGGACAACTTCACCTTGTCATCCCGAATCTGAGAGACAGGGGGGCAGAGCTACAGTCATCCTGCAACAGGACAGTGTGTGTGTGTGTGTGTGTGTGTGTGTGTGTGTGTGTGTGTGTGTGTGTGTGTGTGTGTGTATGGTTACCTCTTTCCCAATGACTTTAATCCACACCTGTTCCCCCATATCGACAATTTCTGAGGCACTCTCAACCCGTGTGGCTGACATTTCACTCACATGTACCAGCCCTGAATGTGTCAGAGAAAATTACAGATATCAATGTAATAAATACATATTTTAGATTTAGACACACAAAAAGACTTTATTTTTAAGATTTTAACATTGTGTTTTCTTATTAGAAATTTTTAATTATAAAAATATATTTTCATAGGATGTCAATGTCTCAGGGTGCTGAATTTATTCCAAGAAACTCTGCCCAGTCTGCCCTCCGGTGGTGAAAATGAGATGTTCTGTATAACATGCTGGTCAAGAACAATTGTGCTTCAACAAATCATATGCATCGTATCACACCGTAATCTATATGTAAATATAGATATGAGATATAATCAATCTATTCCACTTCTTAACAACTCTGCCCTACCCCAAACCCCTGCTACACTTCCTTTCTCGACAAGCACATTATGTTGGATTTATTTTCCTAGGAAGTCAGTGTCTGGAAAAAACTAAATTAATTTTAATGGCGAGTGTACTGACATATAAAAACATTGCCTTGCACTGCAATATCTCCACATCATCTGTTATATGCTGTGTTGTACCCTCAGATTGCAGGATGCCCCCAACCTAAAAACAAACTGATAATAACCAAAACTCTTCCTGCAATCAGAGAAGGAATTCTGTGGAAATATTGAAACCATACTCTCGTAGTATCATGTAGCCTAGGTGCCTTGCTGTCTCTTCTCCTAACGCTGGCTGAGACAGCACTGGCACAGACTGCGGAGACACTATGCACTAGAGTTTGGGAACGAGGTTCCTGCCTCCTCTGCTCTCACTCTGCATTGTTTTCAGCTCTGGACAAAGTCCCATTTCTGACTCAGTGCTTTTACCTGCAGGTGTTGAGTTGGCATCTTCCTGCCACTGCACAATTCTCTGTTTTATAGGTTTTCTTATACTTTAGGTTTAACTGTTTCACCCAATGCAAGCTCTACGGTATTTTCATAATAAGGTTTTCTGATTCTTATTATGTGAGCCTTTGCATCTCTGCTTCTTATTCTCTTGTATTTTGTGGTATTTGTGCTTTCTTTTACTGATTTCATCATTTCACTCAGTTTGTATCTGTGATGTTATGTGTGCAATAAAAGTATATACACATAAAAAGTATATCTATTTCTTCTTCTTCTTCACTTTTTGTTTTTTACCAACCTTCCTTCTTGTATCCTGGCAGTCTGACAAAGGCTCCATAGGTCTGCACAGAGACCACCTCACCCTTGGCAATACTGTACAGTGGTGGCAGACCATCCAGTCCAGCAGGCTCTGGTGCTTGGCCATCACTGTCAGACATGATCCCACTTGAGGTGGAGCACAGGTATCAATGGGTGGATCTAGAAGATTGATAATGAGACAGATTTTTATTATTCGTAGTATCATGAAATAGTAATGCTGTGATTCAAGGTTGTTTTTGTCCATTGGAAATCCTGTAGATGAATCCAACAGTTAGGTGTTTGGGGGCAAAAGTTACAGAAAATGCACATTAAATCAGTGTCTACTTTAAGCCTCTGTACAGTTTGCACTTATCAAGATACTTTTTATAAACAGGTCTATAAGAAACTTCTTTAACATTGTTGAAAATAGGCAGTTTCACCACAACCTCTTAGAACCCGATTAATACCAGGAGGACTGGCATTAAATATGGGCTGTAATTCAAACAGTGTAATAGGGACACTGTACTACGCAGTCTTAAAGTCTTCATAATATTATAAGTCACTTGTAAGTTTTATAAATTGTTCAACAAAACAATTACATCCTGGTTAAGATGAAAGGGTCTAAGATTTATATGTGTATTAATGTGATTTAAACATATATGTTAGTACAATTTCTACGGTTGCCAGAAGAAAAAGGTTTTTCTTAAAAAGAAAAGAAAAAGGTCTAAATAGGTCAAATACCACAATGTCTCTAAGTTTTATTGTATAAATACTGCAAGAGCATTTGGTTAAACTGGGATTTAAAAAACGATGGCTGTAGAGAGCTTCTGATGCATTTGAAGGCACCTTAACAGCATGTATTTAAGTTTAAAACAATATGAAAAGGTCCAGTGGTTAGATCCCTCTTCGATATTCTTACATTTTTATTGTGTAATCTCTCTCTTTTATTTATTCTTCTCGCTCGGATGGAGCTGAGTTACCCACACTTTATTTGTATAAGACTCAGAGGGTAAAATATGTGCATAAACTCTTGGATAGAATAAAAAACAAAGTGCAGCAGGCTGTCTTAACTTTAACTTTACATCTACTGTAACAGTGTCTTGGTTTAATAGTAGCAGTGAGGCTAACATTAGCTAGCCATATTAAAGCGCTGTCCTCTACCTGGTGAATCCGATAAAAACACATTAACACGATAACTAATCCATGTGTGAGGTATAAATCCCTAAATGTAACATTATAGACAGTCCATAATATAGCGGTAATTTAGGAGAAAATATATAAAATAATAAATTTATTGTTACCTTTCGTGTTAGCAAAGCTGCTTCCTTTTTACATCCGGGTCAACTGAGTTTAACAACAAGCCGAGTAACCAATCATCGCAGCCGTTGGAGCTTCGACCAATCACAGGCCTCATAGCCAGCGGAAGTGCTCCTCCTCTGTTCTTCGTTGGTGCTGAGTCGCTCGACGTCTCTCCACGAAAGACGTCCATTCATTTTTATAAATCGTAGCATTAAAATTAAACACTTTTGCTGTTTTTTTTTGTTGTCCAACGCGAGATGATTGAACCTAAGAAGAGAGTGGCGGACATGGCGGTGGTTCCTACCGCCGTGAAGCGGCCCCGGACGGAGCTGGTGGCGGCAGCCCAGTCCCAGCAACTCGTGGCCACGGTACGGAGAGTACTCTACTACATTATATATATATATATAAATATGTGTAAATACTGTTAGAAAAGTGCTCATAGCAACGTGTTAGTGGTGACTTAAACTTATACAAAGTCATTAACAACTGCATATTTATCCAATATGTTCCTAAGTAGACTAACTGGACTAGAAATTGTTTATATTTGCTTAAACGGGACGAGGTCGCAAACTAAACGGATAAACAGGAAGAGGAAAAAAACATTACAGTAACGACAAAGCAGGAATTACTGATCAAATCTAACATTCAGCCATGCTCAGATTGGACTGGGGAAAGCATTGATATTCAGACTTATTATCGGGTGGGATTTTAACGATTTTACTTCTCCTTAAGTAATTTTTCTAAGTCCCAAAAATGCAGCTTTCAGTCCACTGTGAACATCAACTGCATCTTTAACTTATGTGAGACACTAATCATGTCAAAAGAAGGTCCTCTTGTTATTGTAATATACACTCGATTGCCAGTTTATTAGGTACACCAAGCTAAAACTAATTGAGTCTAATGGAGCACTCTTGCAATAGATTATAATGTTCAGTTTTGTTGACACTTTTATTAAATTTTTAAAGTTAAATAGTTCACTAACTATAACTACTGTACTTATAGTTAGCGTTTCTGGGCTGTGGTTTTTACATGACACTTTAAGTTCTATGTCAAATCCCTGCAATTCTTTAAAATGCCTTATTATTATCATCTCGTCCACTGTGATAAACATCAGCTGGATAACTTTTACTAATATATACTATTATTATTATTAATAACTGATATTGATGCTCTCCCCTTGACAAACTACGTAAAAGTGATACTGTTTCTAAATAACCTCAAACATATCTTTGGCATTTCTGTACTCACATTTCTTACTTATTGGTTGACACATATGCTGACACCATAGATAAACTAATATTGAGCTGTCAGGCCTTTAATGCTGAAAGAAGAGTTTCTTGTTGTTCTACAGTATTATGTATTTAATTCACTTGGCCCTAACCTCAGACAGCCACTATATATCACCATTGATGTGTGTCTCTCATAGGGTCCCCCACGCAGCTCCAGCCTGCAGGCTCCCATTATGCTGATGTCTGGCCACGAGGGTGAGGTCTACTGCTGCAAGTTTCATCCCAATGGAGCCACGCTGGCCTCCTCAGGATTTGACAGGCTCATATGTAAGATATTAACAATGAATCTAGTGCAAACAGTGGACAATCCGACACACACATCTTTGTTAAAATGAATGTTAAAATAAAACTCCCAGACACTCGTTGTAAGTAACTTACACTGTGTTTCTTTCCTGCAGTGATGTGGAATGTGTATGGAGATTGTGAAAATTTTGCCACTCTGAAGGGCCACAGTGGAGCAGTGATGGAGCTGCACTACAACACAGATGGCAGGTATGAATGATCAGTGATGAAGTTAAATGTCGTACGTATACTCTGATGGACACGCAAAATAATAAACTACATTAAATTATGAATAGTATACATTTAAAGTTGTGAATAAACAAATAAAGGGAAACATTTAGTGTAAGTAGGCATGGACAGTATGGCACTGGTTTCTTCTTGATTCACTGAGTCAAAACTTTTCCTTTTTAATTCATTTGATTTTGGTGTTAGAGCTTGTCAAAACAATGAATCCATGGTAAGGTGCAAGTATATTTAAAGGTGGTAATTGTTTAGCTTTTATATTAGATCATAATCAAACTGAGAAGAGTTTTGTTAGGATGTTAAGATGTAATCACTTTTATATGCATGTAACTGTTAAATTATAATTATCACATATACATATATATATGATATAATAATAACACAATCGTGGGAAAGTTTGCAAATTTTGGCTTTTTTTATTGCTCTAAACAAGGTGGTAGGGGAGATTTTAACGATATTACACAACTATTATTATTATTATTTTATTATCAGTTACAGTGATCCTTAAAGGAACGAAAACAGAAGGATTTTTTGGTTGAACCAATGCTTTATTATAATTTCACAAAGTATTATGTCCTGAGAGACATGAAACTTGAAATAATTTTTTTTAAATACCACTAATATGGGAGGATTAAATACCATTGATAACCAAATGTACGTAGGTATGATAACCGTCAATTTTCATACCATGAACATGGTACTGCTGCAGTCCAAACCAAATGACCAAGCAAACACGACCGTTTACTCTAGTTTCTGTCATCAGTGGAGAGACTACTCACGTTTTCCCTTTGTTCAAGTTTACTCACTGGCTGAAATACTTGGCACAAGACAACACAGACGCCATCCTTTGTTAATCCAGCAGGCTGATAAATGTGTGTAAAAAAGCGTTGACCAACTGTGCTTTCTTTCCGTTGATTATTTCAGCATGCTGTTTTCGGCGAGCACGGACAAGACTGTGGGTGTGTGGGACAGTGAAACAGGCGAGAGGATCAAGCGCCTGAAGGGCCACACCTCCTTCGTTAACACCTGCTATCCGGCCCGCCGAGGGCCTCAGCTCATCTGCACCGGCAGCGATGACGGGACAGTCAAGGTGAGATTTTCAGCTGCCAATTAGGGTTAAATAATTTAATTATCTGGGTAAATGTTGCATGATATTTGTTTGGAATTGTTATATTCTGTTACTAATTTATCTCATGTACTCAAGTTCAGTTGTTGGTCTGATCAGGTTCTTGTTTCTGTATGTGTTTGTCACTGTGGTAGCTGTGGGACATTCGTAAGAAAGGAGCCATCCACACTTTCCAGAACACCTACCAGGTGCTGGCGGTGACGTTCAATGACACCAGTGACCAGATCCTTTCAGGAGGCATCGACAATGACATCAAGGTACAGAAAACCTGGAAGATTTTACACTGAAAAGGATAATGTCCTGGAATATAATTTTCTTTCAAAATGATTTCAAAAATTCAGATTAGCTGTTAAAGGCACAATATGCAAGATTTTTACCTTAATATAACAGCTTCGAAGTCATTTCGATGGTAAACAAACTCGTAGTATAGCGAATCATCCTGATAGCAAAGCAGGAGAGGGACGCCGTTGGTAGAACCAGCAATGCAAGTCTGAAAGGTGGCGTCCCGCCAAATCTTGCAAGAATCACAAATTGGTTTACGGTGCGACGTCACCTACATCAGCGACATAAGAAGCAGCCTCAATGGAAGACACTAGCAGGCATTCACGCAGACGTTACCTGGTCAGTAGACATCTTCGGAGTCTATCTCTGCCTGTTCGATGTACGACGCTTCCATCCTACTGAACATGTACCGGAATACAGGGGGGAGGGGATAAGGCCTCTGTGGAATAAAAGCCATGGACAGGGACCAACTCCAGATCTCAGTCAGTGCCTTGGTCAAGGGCAGGAATTTATAAACTTGATGACATACGATTCAGATGGATCAGACAGTTTGGAATTGGTCCCGGATTCCCATCCATACATCTCCTGTGGCAAAGTCATAGAAATAGGTCGATAGAATAGAGCAGGAACTCTGTGGAATCTTTACCAGGTCAAAATCTTACTCTTAGCATTGCTCTTTTTATTCATTCATTCGGTAGATAGAAGACAGCGTGGCCTGCGTGGTGCAAGAAATTATATCTGTGGTTTAGATTGGAATATATCAGCAAATCTGACCACCCACTACAGAAAAGTGTTTTTTTCTTTTCCTCGATATAGTTGCTAATTGGAATCAGTCAAATCAAATTTAACTGCATTGTCCAAAGATGGAAATGTATTTGGTCTAAAAATACACAATATCAGTACAAAACTACCACAAAGTACCTAATTTATGAAGTTCTATAAAAGTATGACAGTGAGATTATTATTGTCTCTGTTTGTATCTTTTTTTTAATATTTTCCTGTGTTTAATTGTTATGCACCAACTTACCAAGGGGAAGTCCATGTATGTGAAAACCTACTTAAAACCTGATTCTGATTAAAGACAAATTATATCATTATAAGTCTTGTTTTAGATTATAAGAATTACTGTGAATATTAAACACGGGAACAAGGCAATGCTCACATGTCTGGTGAAGGCGAGGAGTTCTGTCATTTAGGATTAAGTGTGTCTCATTTACTGTGAAACCGTGTCATCATGAAGCCAAGGACCAGTATCTGTTGTTGGTGAAACACATTGCATTTTTCATTTGGGTTTGAGTAGAATAAGGTGCTTAAACACAGTATTTAGCTCATTGTCAGTGTGCTGCATAAATGCCTCCCTCAGGTGCTGCTAATCCCATGAAATGGTAAATGCTTTGCAACAGTACATCCTCTTCACTCTTGCATCTTTTATAATGATGTTCAAGAATTGCTCTGGTTTTTTGTCCTCATTCTGCTACCTACTTCTTCCACTAACCCTGCTGCAGGCTCCTTTGTGATTTTGCAGTTGACATGTTGTATTGTAGTGTGTCCATGTCCCGTGAGAACATTTTTATTTATGATTAATGTAATATCCAACAGTAAATTACACATTAAAAAACGTAACTTTACCTGAGACTAATCGGCAGTGATGTGGTCTCTGACGTCTGTTTCGTCCTTACTTATGTCCTCTTTTGTTTTTTTAACTAAAGTATGAATAAAAGATGACAAAAGACAACAACTCTCATAGCAGCAGTGTCAGCATTCATAGTGTGGATGCTAACATCGTTATAGTTATTGTTCTTGGTGTGGACGACCCTTTTAGACTCTAGTTACAATCTTGAGAACTGGTTCTTTGCCTTTGGATATTGCTACAGCTCAAGCCTGCTCCTTTCTCTTTACATATAGGCCTATATACTGTGTCCTTTTTGTATAAACCCTGTTGAAAGATGTCCTTTGTGTTGCGCAGGTGTGGGACCTGAGGCAGAACAAGCTGATCTACAACATGCACGGCCACGGTGACTCAGTAACTGGACTCAGCCTGAGCTCTGAGGGATCATACCTCCTCTCAAACTCCATGGACAACACAGGTAGGATACTTGTGTGTATATTTACAGCACCAGAAACGCATTTTCTCGGGTCATAACACTGAATTTTATGTGGCCCAATCTTTCTGTGTCTCTGTGTAGTGCGTATTTGGGATGTCCGACCATTCGCACCCAAGGAGAGGTGTGTGAAGATTTTCCAGGGAAATGTTCACAACTTTGAAAAGGTAACATAAATATCTCTCTGACCCTCTCTGTAGTCCAGGGTGTATTCGAACCTAATGCCCTGATACTGCTTTCCATTGTTGGTACGACCCAGGGTGAGAGATTGGATACATTTGGAAGGCAGAAATTATGTTTGCCACCTAGCAGAATCTAGCCACTGTGCCACAGATTTTCTTTTCCTGAAAACACATCAAAACTTTTCAATTTCTGACACGCAATAAACAGCACGTTCATCTTGTGAACTGATGGTGAGTCTAACTTTGTGCATAAGCGACTAACAGCTGCAAACCTGTTTACGCCTGTTGTCGGCCACGGCTGCATGACATCACCTTTCATTCTCTCCTGCCTCTCCCACCATCACCGCGCTGTCCTTTCTAATAAAGACGTTCATCTTTCCTCTTATTACTGTAACAGTAGCTCATGTGTAGACTGGCTGTGTCATGTTGCTAATGCACTTTCTAACATCTGTTCCTGTCTTTCAGAATTTGCTGAGGTGCTCCTGGTCTACTGACGGCAGTAAGATAGCTGCAGGCTCAGCTGACAGGTGAGAGAAACACAAACCACATTTACATGCAAGATGAAGGTTTATTTAGTTATGGGAAATGTTATTTTGTTATATTATAGAATGTTTCATCTTTTGTGAGTGATGAAATAAAATTTTTTTTTAAATAAATAAACAGGTTAAAAAGGAAAACAATGCATTAAACCATTAGTTTGTGTCCAGAGGTGTACTGTGATACTTTATTTAAATAAGCACATTATTAGTGAGGTCCATCTTTATAAACACGTGTCCATCTTAAGTTGCAAGCTAGCTGTAATCTCTGTGCAATTTACCTCTTGCAATTGATTTTCTGTCTCAGTCCACCAACAACGGCATAACTTGAAATAAATACACTGCACACAATGCATTGTACCAAAAACCCGTCAGTCTCCAATGTCTCGGCTTTGCATCGTCTCACATCAGGAGTCATTCTGGCTGTTTATCTGTGTTTTTATAGATTTGTGTATATCTGGGACACCACATCACGTAGGATCCTGTACAAGCTGCCAGGCCACGCTGGCTCTGTCAACGAAGTGGCCTTTCACCCAGAGGAGCCTATAGGTGAGTCTGAAATACATGCTAGAAGGATGGGGTGGAGATATTTGAAGACTTGAGGAACAGGTTAGCTTTTTGTTTCAAAGGTCCAGTGAAGATGCCACTAAATCCTACACACTGGTCCTTTTTAAAGAATATATTTATAACAGTTGCCTCCCTTTCCTGTCCTATATCCATCCCTAACCCTCACCCACCCCTACCACAGAAATCTTTAAATATGTAAATAAACATGGCTACAGGTAGAAAAATTATAGAAACAGACTAGGACGGTTAACCATTGCAGTAAGAAAGATAACAACATATGTTCTAAGTAAGGGTCCTAAACTTTTTATAGAAAGCGTATGCTTTTTAAGCTTGAAGGACGTGAGGTAATGGAGGATTTTCATATTCATGTGGTTTTGACAGAATATTGTCATCACCCAACACTTATTTTCTGTCTGTTAGATTTAATTTGACATTAATGGTTCGTACACCTGAGGCTTATGACTAACAATAGGAGTTTAATCATCTTTTTGTCTTTGTTCCTCCACATAGTGCTGTCTGGCTCCAGTGATAAACGGCTCTACATGGGAGAAATTCAGTAGAGTGTGTGTGTGTACGCGTGTCAGCCTGGATGAGTGTGTGCGTGAGTGCGTGTCTGTGTGTGCGTGAGTGCGTGTGTGTGTGCGTGTCCAGCAAGCGAGGGTCCTGCTTCAGAAGTGGATGGGTGGTGTTCGACAATGGGTTAGGAGTGTCTGTAATTTCATGTGCTTCAGCTCGTCACAAAACAACCTCAGGACGTGTGTTTGAAGTTTATTATGCTCAGTCTCAACAACCTCCACAACGACTTGTTTTCTTTTTTTAAATTCTGATTTGTTTCTTTTTAATAAACTTCTGTATTCTGTAAAGGATTTTGTAGATTATTTTGTCTTTGTGCTTTTTCTGTGTTTATAGTAGTTTCACATGCTGGTTTTATCCACTAAACTTGAGTAAAAACAGACAGTCTGTTGCATGTGGGTTATCTGTCCATACACAAATAAAACAAGTTATTTTATATAATTAATCTGCTCCTTTTAAAGAAAACAACAGTGGTGTTACTTGTACGAGTGAGGGGTTTATTATAAACAAGACGAGCAGTGAAGATTAAAAAAGTTAATGGTTGGAGTTCAGACTGATCATCTGTTCCTCACATGTTAACACATTAATATTGACAAGAAGCGGAGCTTTAATATGAACACTGAGGCAACACGTAATGAAGGACAACAGACTGTGTTTTCTGTGGAAGTTTAAATGTTTTAAATGTGAACAGGAAGTCCAGATCTGTCCTGACCCGCTCAGTAAATTACATCAAAATTATCAAGCCAATAAAAGTCAATCATGGGTCATTTTTGTTTTAGACAAATCACAAAGCAAAACCCACTGATGTTCTGAAGGCAAATAAACTAATAACTACCTCTCCATTCCCTATAAACCTTTTACAATTCTCAATAGACAGTATAGTTTACATACTTTGATATTTAATTTAATTTTTTTTTATTTTACTGACAGAACTTCTTTATTTCTTAAACAAAAATAAAATAATGAGTTTTTATTGTTTTTTTCCCCCCCATCTTGCCTCATTAAGTGCAGGAATAGAGCTTTTTCAAGGTCTGGATTAGTGTATCTGTGGTGATAAATTAATCAGGTCAGTTTAATTTGCACTATCTAGACCTACTGACATGTGTGACTGCAGATATTCATGTTTTTTTTTTTTAAGTCCAATCTAATTGCACAATGAACATGGGTTTGCTAAGTAGGGCTCTGATTTCGTGTCACTTAATTTATTAAATTAAATATTTTTGAGCGTTCCTCTGCAGCACCTTTCAATCAATCACACTGTAAGTGCTTTAAGGGTTCGATAAATTAATTTAAAACGATAAAATGGGAAAAGATCATTTAAATAGTTAAGATTGATTAAACCAGAGATGAATACAAATGGGAAAATTCCGTTATTACAAGTGATCAGTCAAAGTTGCAGCAGATTATGGTGCATTACAGTACAGAGCACAGTTAGAGGTGAACATACTTCATATGTTTAATCAGTTTAAGGAACAAATTAATGTAAGATTTGTTGTAATAAACTGGATATGACAAGTAATGGCACTGATTGTCATTTGGCGTCACTGATAACCAAATAAAGCGTTGATTATCTGCCTTTTCCATCAGTGATATCTGAACTTCTCTTATGTGGAGCTCAGTTGTTGTTACACTGTCGCACTGCTCACAGTAAGTAGCAGAGATTAAACAAGGCTGTTAATTGTGTTTTCCGCTCGGAGGAACCGCAGGCTGAGGGGGGCAGCGTGTCCGCGGCTCGGTGGTCTCTCCTCGGTCTGTGTTTGTGTCCGCACTCGGGAGGCGATCACAGACTTTATTATTTTCGGCTGTCTGAACCTCCTCCTCCTCCTCCTCCTCCGCGAGCCCCAGTTTCTTTTGTGCTCCTTCCGAACGCCTCGCGGGGCTGCTGCTCGGCCGCGCGCACACACACACGCACGCGGGTCTGCAGAATCCATGCAGCTCCTCGAGGGGGTCGCGGTGACTGAGAGCCCCCACCCCCTCGCCTCTCTCTCTCTCTCCCTCTCCCCCCCCGGCTCCTCCTGCGCCCGCCCCGGCACCGATTGTTGACAAAAGACGCTGAGAGACGGAGCGAAGGAGCCCAGACCCCGGTACTGGTGAGCAGATCTCCCCGTTAACTTCTTTCCCCCAACAGTTAGAGGAGATCGGGACGACGGGATTTATTTTGGGGGGGTGTGTGGGGGGTGAGGGGACGAGGACTCTTCCGTTCCTAGAAAACCGTGAGTCACAACGGGCTGCTTTGTGTCCAGATTGCATGTAGCCAAACGTTAGCCGTAGTAACGCTGCGGGGTCGGTCCCCTCCTCCCCACCTCCCCCGTGTGATCCGGTATCATATGATGCTCATTTCTGTCTGTAGCCTGGGGCAGATTATGACAGCTTTCCGTCTCTCTTTGTGCCTTTGTGTGTCCCCTCTACGGAAGGTGTGGCCGAGGTGATTCGGTTGTCGGTGGTGGTCGGACCGCAGCAGGCCGGCGTGAAGTGGACGCCCCCCCCCTACCCCCACCCCAACCCTCCTCCTTCTCCTACCCCTCTCTCTCTCCTTCCTGAAAACCACCCGCGATTGGTAGGCCTATTTACCGACAAAAACAGCGGCCAAGATGGGTCACTCGCTGTGAGTGGAAGCGCCAGACCAGCGTTACCGGAGGAGGCGGCGGCCTTGTGCAGGTCTATTCAGCCGGGAATGGTGTGAGCTGAGACGGCCAGGCAGTCTGGATCTGACCGGGGACCCGTCATTCCCCCGGAGCCTCCGCGGCTCTAAGCCGCGTCAAGAGCCCTCCAAGATGGGGAAGTGCGACGGAAGATGCACGCTGCTGGTGATATGTTCACTGCAGTTGGTGAGTGTGTATATCCTAGTGTGTGTGTGTGTGTGTGTGTGTGTGTGTGTGTGTGTGTGTATGTTTGTGTGGGCGTCCTAAGCTGCCTCTAACGCTCACCATAAAGATATAATTAGAGCAGCGTGCCACAGACACGCACATTGTAATCAGACATTTTTGTCCGGCCTCTCTGTACAGTCAATAAAAATGCTTTGAGCTGCAGCTGCTGGGGTGCATGCCACATTACAGACGAGGGTGTGTGTGTGTCTTTTAAGAAGAAGAGGAATAGGGCAGAGGGGCGCTTTGGTGTCGGGGTGGTCTGTATGTCTGTAGAGAGAGAGAGAGAGAGAGAGAGAGAGAGAGAGGGGTGATAGCCCCATTCTGGCAAAAACCATGTGAATTTTAAGCACAAGGGGGACAAGGAGGCCCTGTTCACCATCTGGTCTCCATTCTGGAGTTAAAGTTAGCTGCTCCTTGTGCCTACAAATAGCTCCAGACTGTTCCTCTAAAATGTAATAAGTGTGTAATGTGAGCCAGTATCAGCTACTCCTGTAGTGGAGCATGATGCGGGGTATGCACAGCGGCAGTGTGAGGGCTTGTTGTCCCGGCTATTGTTTGCAGGGCTGATGAGTGTGGCAGGGGGATTCGGCCCATAGCTTCTCATTAGTTTGGGGGAGCTTTTTTAGGGGGGTGCTCCTCTTTTACAGTCGCCGGACTGGCTGGTGCTCCAGGCAGTTACCATGGAAACAACTGCGGCAGACCTGTGTATGTGTGTCCCTGTCACTGTCTGTGCGTGTGTGAAGCCTTGATTAAGTGTGTGTTGTGTTTCTATGTGTGTGTTGTATTTGCATATGTCCTCTGTTGTGTGTGTTTGTATGTATGTATGTGTCTTTTCCCTAATGTGTGTGTGTGTGTGTGTGTGTGTATGACCCCCCTCCCCCTGTCCCCTAGGTGGCAGCCCTGCAGAGACAGGTGTTTGATTTTCTGGGCTACCAGTGGGCTCCCATCCTGGCCAACTTCCTGCACATTATGGCCGTCATCCTGGGCATGTTCGGCACCGTGCAGTTTCGCTTCAGATACCTCATCTTTGTGAGTATATCACTCAGCAGCTCCTGTTTACTTTAAATGGATACATGTGTGTGTGTGTGTGTGTGTGTGTGTGTGTGTGTGTGTGTGTGTGTGTAGTTACTGTATCAGAAACTGATGTCTTTGTGTGTTTGGCAGTATGCAGTATGGCTGGTCCTTTGGGTGGGTTGGAACTCATTCATTATCTGCTTCTACCTGGAGGTTGGAAACCTGTCTCAGGTAAGTTAAAGATAACAACTTGGATGTTTGCTCTAATTATAAACACTCTCTTCTTCTGTCTTTAGTTAGGTATTAATGGATCTGCTGCTTGATATTTAATCAATTGTTAACTCACCAGTTCCCAAACTCCTGTCTTTTTGCTAATTCTCATTATAGCTTCTGAGATATAATGATTGTTTCTTCTCCAAAATGTTTTTACTGAATCTTTTTTAGAGGCCTTAAGATAAGATAAGAAGATAAGAAGAAAACAAAGATTTTAAAGAATGAGGTCTGATTTTGTGTGGCAGAAATATGTTTTTTATGCTTTCTTATCCTTTTAAGCAACTTGTATTGCGACCCTTGAAATTTACCCAGTGACCTCTTAGTGAGGGTCCGACCCCAGGTTGAGACCCTCTGGTTTAAATCATGTATTATGCAAAAATGTCAAAAGTCTCTGGTTTCTGCCTCTCAAATCTGAGGATATGCTGTTTTTTTCCTGCTTTATCTAAATGTTTCTCTGCTTTGTATCATTATGAATTGATGTCACCTTGAAATTGCGACATTTTGTCGACTATTCATTTAATAAAAAACATAAGCTGAGGAATCAGCAGTGAGAATAATCATTAGTTCTGACCCTACTTTTATGTGTGTGTGTGTGTGTGTGTGTGTGTGTGTGTGTGTGTTCAGGACAGGGACATTCTCATGACGTTCAACACATCCCTTCATCGTTCGTGGTGGATGGAGCATGGTCCTGGTTGCTTGGTAACGCCAGTGCTAGACTCACGCATCGCCCCTGATGACCACCATGTCATCACTGTGTCCGGGTGTCTCCTTGACTACCAGTACATAGAGGTGTTGAGTTCAGCCATTCAGATCCTATTGGCTGTACGTATTTAACACACACACACACACAATCGTACACTGTGGTTCTTTTACATTCATCTGGCTTTATGAACTTTTAGGAACTCAACCTTCAGCTAAATCATTTCTATGAAACACAGTATGAGTATGAGTCAAAAGTGACTCAGCGTGTACAACAACAGTCACCTAATATCTGACCATCTCTTCACCCACAGCTCTTTGGCTTCGTATACGCCTGCTACGTGAGCAAAGTCTTCCAGGATGACGAGGACAGCTGTGAGTGCTTTTGTCTTCTCCTAAAAGCTTGTTGATCCTCCTCTAGCGCCTTGTTCAGCCGATTAGATTTACTTGTGTCATACTGTCGAGAGGGCTTTTGTGTTAGCAATCCGTGGCTTTGGATGTTGGTGCTCATTGTTTTCTCCTGCCTGAGTCATGCTGAGCAGCATCACCGCAGAGGGTTCCCTCTGGGTGATCTGAGCACTCCATCTGTGGGGAGCGTTAAAAGATGTCTGCCGGAATATTCCCGCCGCCAGAGTGTCCGTCTGTCTGCTGGCTAGTGCTTGTCTGTTGGCTTGGGTGTGCCATCTGTGTGTGTCTGAATGGTTCTTCTCCTAGCGTGACGCTCGTGAGTGTTTTTCGCTCTCACTCAGACGAGAAAATTATGTGACGTCATAAGCTTGAGTTCCTGTAAAAGGAAGTGTCATGTTTCGTTTGTGATGTTTAACATGTTACGTTATAATCATATGCATGTCATAACATAGTGGGGTTGACGAAAGAACAATGACATGCAATATCAATTTATTTTTTATGCATTAATAATATACTTTTGAGGCCATGTTGATTAATATATGCATATATATATATATATATATATATATATCTTAAGTATTTCTGCTCTCTACCTTTCTATGTATTGGCCAATATATTCACCTGATACCAATATACCAATTTTTATTAAATTGTTGGCTCTTGCCTCAGGAGAAAACAGATCCCTAAGTTGTGGTCTACATCTCCACTGATGTAGACAATCAGGGACTGTTTCTTTCTCAGCTGGCACCACATAAGTTTGTTCCTCTGAATCGATTGAGAAAGATTAGAACAATGTATCAGTGACATAGAAGCAGTGAGAAAGATGATGTATTGGTGCAGATTCTGATGTCACAGCGGGTGTTATAAAGGTATACTGAAAGCACTACGATACCATCTGATGCCTTAATAGATTTTCATGTCAGAATAGAATCTGATCTTGAAATACAACACTTGGTGAAAAAAAAAAGATTTTAAGGGAAAGAGGAATGATGTCATCCTTTCTCTCTCTCTCTCTCTCTCTCTCTCCCCCCCAAAGTTGATTTCATTGGTGGCTTTGACTCGTATGGCTACCAGCCTCCTCAGAAGTCCTCTCATCTGCAACTGCAGCCTCTTTACACGTGAGTTACAAATTTTATATTTTTTATCATATTGTTTAATGATTGTCTTTGAAGGGGTCCTCCAGAAATACAGTGTTGCACTTCTAAAAAGTTTAGGGCCTCACAGATGAAAATAAATGCAGCAGAGATATCTTGACTCTTTTAGTCCCTAGTGTAGGTTCCCCCTCCAGACATGAATTAAGACATATGCAAATAGTCTACTTGGGACAATAATGTATGTCTGATTAATACATAAAATATATAATTTCCATATTAAAATCTGTAAACTCCTTTTACCTGATTAAAAATTCCAGAATATGTGAATTTGCAAATGTTCATTTCTAAAGTTTTCCTGCTGGACACAAGAGATCTCCTGCTTCCCTGTAAAGCCCATTCTCAGTGTATGTACTGGAGGCTTTAATATGCTGGACCGGGATTGACTTATAAACTATTTGTGATGTCCCAAATCATGATTGTAGGCCCCGCCCCTTAAAATCAGATATTCAAAAGAAACCTTCCACTTTCCATCACTCTGCACAGTGAAGCTCAAACATCTAACTAGAACAAGAAGAACTTTTTGGGGGGTTTCTAAGTCTCAAGCCCAGAATAACCATGATGATGTCATAAGGGATATCTCAGTCCAAGTGACATCATCAGTTCGTCAAGTTGAAAAAAAAAGCTCCCTCTAGAGCCACATAACACATTATTCTGTTGTAATAAACTGTTTTCTCAGGTCCTCATGACAAGTAAACCAAACTACATGTGTAAAATCAGCGGAGTGCCATTTTTAGTGCAAATACATCAAAGTGCAGTGTGCTGTGTAACATTGATGTCTGACTGTGTGAACTCCTGATCTTATCCCCCTCTCCATCACAGGGCTGGTTAACTGTTGGTAGCGCCCCCTTCAGGACAAACCCTGACGGTGTCACTGTGGATGGAAAGCGGCGGTTGCCTTGATTACACTCACTCTGTGTGTCACAGTTTACCAGAGGAAGGGACTTACCCCACCCAGAGGGAGAGACGTCTGTGCGTGTGTGCATGTGTGCTTGTGTCTGAGAAAGAAAGAAATACAGCCCTGAATAGAATGTACAGAGCTCAGGGAAGAACCAGCATGCCAGGTGGTGTGATAAGATGAAGGAAGGAGGAGGAGGAGGAGGAGAAGGAGGAGGAGAGATACAGAGAACAAGAGCTGGGGACACCTCTGTCAAATCACCGAAGACACACTTCACTTAACTGCCAGCTCACCACAAGTGTGTATGTGTAAGTATGTGTGTGATTGTGTAACCCCACAGGACTAGCTGGTGCTTTGTGGTTGCACCCTGGACTCTTACCACTCAGTGTCCCTGTGAATTAGTTTTTTTTTTTTTTTTTTGGGTGCTCGTGTGTGTGTGTGTGTGTGGGGGTGGGGTCACATAATAAACCGAGGCACGGCTCGTACCTGTTGTCATTTTAGAATGTGGTGGTGTCAAACTAGAGCAGTCTTACGATTCCCAAAGCCATCTTTCCTTCCTCCCATGCCGTTAAAACCACTGTTGACATTGAAGCTTTTTACATTACAGCTCCTGCCTGCTGAGACAGTAAAACAGAGCTGGTGGAGCAGAAAGGATGAACAGCTTAAAAGGATCAGGCTGGCGATATTTTATATATTTAATTATTGACCAAAACCAACAATGTGTGCATCCATCTCTCCATACTTTTGTTCACAGCAGTAAAGCTTTTCAGCAGCGCTAGTGAGTATTTACAGCGGCAGGATGGTGTATGTGGGATCATCTCAAAATAATCTACAGTGCACAACTTCATCATACAGAAGAAACATGTCACCCAGTGCAACAGTGTGTCTTTAAATAGATCTGACAGAAGGAATACACTATATCAGGCTTGTTAGTAGAAATAATTCATTGTTGGTTTTGGCCTTTTCATGCAATTTGTTGACAATAAGAAAAATACAGAATATCACCAGACTCATCCTCTAAAGTTCTGAGTTACTTCAAGTCAAATGTCCATTGCCAGGATATTTTGTTTTCAGGAAAGTAAGTTACTGTACATGTAATGCTGTTAAATAGGGATGCAGATGGCTTTGGGATCAGGCATTAGTGTGTCTATGGGGGGTGGGGGGGAGGGGGGGGAGCAGTGGGGATACTGTGCATGTAAATAACCAGCCAATGATTGTTTTGTTGGTTCCATTTAGAAAAAGGGGGGTTGCATTAGAGGGTGGGTAGGGCTGGGGGAACAGGGGTACACAGCAAAGTTTTTTCTTCATACCTGTTTCTCTTGTTCTCTCTTTTTGGACCATCCTCATGCTGCCCTCTTCAAACCCACTGGCAGCTAGTTGTCCCTCTGTCACTAACTACATTCACTTCTGCGGCTCAGTCGCTGATCTCCACCAGAGCACAGCGATAAAGGAGACCTAAGAGGAAAATAGGACTGTGCACGGTGACATGCTCTGAGTAGTTTTTGTAATTGGAGACAGAAAGAGGGAAGGAGGGAGACAGGTATGAGGTGAAGACCATATTTGGGTGTAAGGTGAAGTTTGAAATAATAAAAATACACTTTCTACATTAAACATGACTTCTGTTGTCACCTGTAAACACACATTTGTATCACTGAGAGTGACTAAAGGTTTAATAAAATGAGTGTTTTCCTTCCTAGCTTTGATTACATTATATTAATATCTGGATTATGGGGCACAGAATTACATTTTTGCCAGATTAGTGTAGAAGATTATACAAATAATGCATGCTGGGGAGCTGATATTGTAGAATGAGGATTTGATTTGACAAAATAATGTGATGCATTTTAAACAAAGACAGCCTGACATTACAAAAATAGCACTTAGACAGTCATAAAGGGACTCGTTTTATGCCTGCCGTGCTGAAGAGTAAGCTCACTATAACCCTTTAAGTTAATTTTAATGGTATTAAGTTGATATTTTACATGAAGATTTGATTGTCAAAATCAAGACTATCCACAAAAATACAGCAATGGTCATATGGTGACATGTTGTTTTCTTATTTATAATTAATATATATTTATATGTCTTTATAAAACTGTTAGTGTAGCCTACTACTATCTTACAAAGAGTTTGACAAATAATTGAAGTTTAATTAGCTATAATTATAGTTTAAGCATATTTTCTGCCAGCAAAAAAAATAAATAAACCACCAATAAAACACAACACAACAAATAAAAATTAAAACTTACCAACATGTTTGAGTAGAAATGGTGTTTGAGGTGCAGAAAATTACATGTAAGCATACATTTATATGCAAGCATAAATTAATATATGACTTTATAGGCATGCTTTATAGGTATACACTTCAGGCTATTTAATCGAGTCTGACTGGGCCACAGAAGCATGTTAAAAACCCTGCCATAAAACATGTCCATATGATTACCAGAGATTTTCTTCAATGGCTGCTATGATCTGGGTGCATTACGTCATTGACACACCGGTTCTGGGACAGTCCGGTCTGCAGCCCCGGGGTCGCCACTGGCACATTACCAAAAAGCCAAAGGGGTATTTTTGTTATCTGGGCCACACGCTACTACACCCTTTCACACCGTCCACTTACATTCCGGGGGTGTAACGGAGCGTCCAGTTGCCACAACACTGACCGTGTGGCGCAGCACGTTGCCATGGCTGCCAAGCACCCCGTTACCGTAGAGACCCCGGAACATTGTGTTCAGTCCACCCCCCGATAAAACCACGCAATATCCCCATTTTATAATAGATATAACATTGTATTTACTGTGTTTTCTACCACTAATGTTATATATTAAAATATAAATATTATTTTTGTGACATTTTGTATTGCAGCTTACTACATCTTGTAGTATTGGTTATTTTTTGGTAGTTTACTATAGTGACATCCTCCGTTCCAGATACAGTAACGGCTGTCGGTGAGTCTTTATTTTATTATAATTTTTAAAATGATTTTTTTATTTTTTTTTACACCATTAACAAATCATATAAATGAAATAAAAAGAAAATCCAATATAAATACACCCCACATATAAAAAGAAAGACTCCACACACATAACAAAGGGACCGGTCCGGTACGGCCCTCCCTCCCCTCCCGGTTGGCGCAATGAACCGCACGCTCTCTCTCATCCTTTCCCGTCATGCAGCGCTCTTGCCTGCTCCTCCGTCGAGCCGCCATGTTGTCGGAGTGAAAGCCCGGGGTGTTAGAGAGAAACTGGGGCCGAAATCCGCGACCATCCACCCTCTCCGCCGGTGAGTATCACCTCCTTCTCGGTCGCGGTAGCACGGGGCGTTGTTTATTCACGCGTCGTTGCGGGTATTGTTGCAATGGCGGCTCCGAGAGGGGCTAAAGAGGAGTATTTCGTGAGGCTGGAGCGGCTGCCTCCCTTTCTGCTGCTTGCCTCCTTCCTCCCGTTGTGTCGGTCTTCCGCTCCAGACAGCTCTCGGGCCTTTGTTAGCATCCGCGTCACGGGGACCTGTGGGGGCTGCAAGGTCGGCAGACAGGTAGAGCCCCCCAGGTGTGAACAGATAACACAGTGATGCCGTTAGGGGACCACTGCCGCTGTTAAAAACATTGTACGGGAGCCCGTGTTTGGCCACCGGTTCGCCCGGGCTGAGCTTGTGTCGGGAGGCCGTGTTATTGTTGGTAGACATGGGCAGTGAACCCTCCATAACAGATCCGAGACTGGCGCCAGTGGACGCGGATGCACGGGGGAACGAGCCACCGTGGTTACCGTGGTGACTCGTTTTCACGAAGCTTCTGCATATTCCCTTTCGTTTTGATGTGTCATGTCTGTCAGGGGAGAAGTGTTTGGTCTGTGTTGAGGCACCCTAACGTTATCTCATGCTAGCTGCAGGTTGCCTGCTCGTACTGTCACACCCCTGTCTGTGCCCGGTATGCGGTGGATTGATCCCCGGTATTGAATAATGATTAACCCAGTTAGATTGTGGGACACAGTTCCTGTTTCCGTGTGCTACATGTTAAACTTGTAGCTTAACAAGCCGTGTGCGCCTCGCTTTGGGGGTTGGACTGTGTTGTGGATTTCCGGGTGTTTCTCTACCTGGTTGTCGAGCGGTTGCAAAAGGAATAAAGAGCTAATGATCTCCTGTGGTTGAATGGAGAGTGGAGCAGGGAAACAAACACATGAGTACATATGTGAGTGGTCACTTGGCAGGCTGTTTTATTTATTTATTTATTTAAAATATGTTTTTGGGACAGTTCAGCAGGTCAACTCTGGGGTTTTGTCTGTATGGAGGTGGTGTGTTGCTCAGTGGTTTCAGCAGACTTTGAGAGGAGGCTGCATGCATTTGTAGATTCATAGTGGCAGAAAAGACTCAAAGTTAATTACTGTATATGGCTCTGTGTTAAAAAGAACTGCTTGTGATTTCTTCATGCCCTGCAGGGACACTAATGTGAAACTGGTAATTTTAACAGAGATTAGAGCTTGTTGGATAAGAAGAGGTTGTAAAATACAAATTATACCCCTCTGGCTGAGGTTGTTGTGCCTAATGTTGACCACCAAACACATTGGTACATGCACATTTATTGGCTTTATCATTGCTCACAATAATGATGATCAACCCACCCCCTTAAACCTGGGTCAAATGACAAATCTTACCATTTTCAAAATAAGGAACACCGCAGTCTCAAGTTTTTGTCAAGAGGTCATGTGCAAACTTGCTAATATAGTTTAGATTGTTCCCATTGACACAATAAACTTAGCTTAAAGTAATGGAGTCTATTATAGTTATTATTGTTTTAGTTGTTTATTCAACTTTATCATATTGGCATTTTGGAGGATGTAGTTTGTAGTGCTATTGAACTGTATTCTACACTCAGATGTTTCTAATATTTAGTCTACCCTCACTGATACAAATGGATTTGGGACAAAATATGAAAGACGCCTCTCAATACCATACAAAGGACCACAAAATCCAGGCTCCAAAACAGCCATAAAGTCTTAACTAACATCTCTCTAAAACAGTTTCATCAAAGCAGAATTGTATAATCTCCATGGAAGTAGGATTAATTGCAGCAACCGTTGTATTGGACTGCATTTGATTTAGCTGGGTGTACCTAATAAAGTGGCAACTAACTGTATCAGCTGTAACAGTGTGACCTACTGTTAGCAGTGGCAGAGATCTGCAACCCACCTAAGGCAATGATTGGACAGGTTTTCATAACAACCCGATTTCTGTGGATAGAACACTTTGAACCAGAGAGGGATAATTGGCACCGATATGAAGGTCACTGGGATAAGTGTCTGAATGGCGTTTGTGGGTGATTAACATAGAAACTATATTAATTCTATGGTTCGTTTCACTGGAGTTAGACCTGTTATGTTTGGTTCATAGAGCAGCACTGTACATTAAAGTGTACAGTGTATCCTGCTGTGTGTTAATAGTTAAATCACCTGCCTCCTGGTAAAGTGATTCTCTGGTTTATATCTGTAGCTGTTGATCCCAGGCTCTCTAGTTCTGATTATCAGCAATTAAGTAGCTTTAATGGCAGGTTGCCACTTTGCTCCAAGAATGTTAGACTTACTGTGAGATTAATATTGGTGCTGTCCCTTATGTGGCTGCAGCCTACAGACATTATGTACTTTCAGGTTCTCTGGAAGAATTAGAGGTTTCAAAGAGGGACTGTTGGTTCAGTGAGCTGCTGTTGTGTTTGTCTAGGAACAATATTAACAATATTATCACAGTATTTGTTCATTTTCTGGATCTCTGGTGCGGCCAGATGTTGTCAAATGTGGGTGGCCCATTTCTAGTCTAAAATGAGTTATTGGCTCCATTTACGTGAGATTATACAGTGCTTACTTTTTTCATTCATGTGGGAAGGTGTATCGAGGGATTTATAGAGCACCAACGCAGAGTTTGAACTTTGATCATAATCCATTTGGAATAGGAAAATGATTAGATGACCCATTTGTTTTATGTCATATTTATTTTTTTCTGCTGTCACCACTTTTTGATGTAGTAGGGTAGAACATGGATCATAGTCTTTGTAATTTTAATTTCTGTTAACATTAGCTGATACACTATGCACTCTGACATGAAGACTTTTTTTTTTTTTTTTAAAGTTGTCAGATCCTGTGCTTTTGCTGACTATAGCTATAAAGCCTTTGCATGTTTGCATTCATTCACCAGTTTATTAGGTACACCTAAACTTATGCAAAACCTCATGTAGTCAATGTGACAGCCCTGCAATAAACACTACAAAGGTTATAATGTTCATTTACAGTAAAATTTATTATAGAGAGGTGTTGATACAACTTTATGGTCATTTTGTAGGTTGTAATAAAGTTTGATGTGCTGTTGAATTGTGCTGTGTTATGCTGAAAGGTTTTTACTTGAAGCAGATGAGCTTAAACTACAGTCTTCAAGCTATCGGTGCTTATTGAAACTACCAGTTTCAGTAAAATGTTATTGTTGGAATCTTTATGATGGATTTATTGCAGGGGAGTTGTATTAGACCGCTTTAGTTTTAGGAAGGCACACCTAATAAACTGGCAACTATGCACAGGATCTCCATCCTAAGTGAGTACATTGTGTTAAACTGGTCAGAGCTTATCAAACAC